GCTTGAGTATTGACAGTTAGGGAAGTGCTAGCATATTTATCCCACACATCATTGATGTAGTTGGTCCAATATCCTTCGAACAGTACCGGATTGAATACAATGCCCGCCGTTGGATTAAGGGCTCTCAGATTCGTACCGTCGTTCTCCACAATGAGCTGACTCCAACCGGCCCCGTCGATCGCATCTTGTGCTACTAGACCTTTGCAAACTGTCGCTAGTCCATCTGAGGGTAAACCTCCAACGTGTTTCACTGCACCGCTTATAGTGTTGAGTGTCAAAGCGATAGGCAGGCACACAAAATCGACGTAGGTGATGTTTGCAAATAGCTCGGAGCTGTTATATGTAAACTCACAAAAATCCCAATTTTTCAAGTAGTTTGGATCAGAGGTATTGTTGACGGAGGGCTCAACCAATGCAGGCCCTGTAAGCCCAACATCGAGCAGAAATGTCAAAGTATCCTCGATGCAGAACCAAATCCGACCGCCTGCAATATTTGGAATAGTGACCTTCGTAGTAGACCCCGGTTCTCCAAGTGGAATAGCACAGTCTTCGGTCAAGGCAGATCCGTTAGATGATGGATTTGTAGGGTAGTACAAGGTCGACCCATCAGCTTGCAGGAGCACCACGGAATTGTTGTTATTGATGGCAAGGCCAGTGATGTATGCATAGACGGTGCTCGAGGAACTTTGATTGACAAGTTCTATGGTAAGTGTGCTGGCAGTATCTTCAGTCTCGACTGTTTTGATTTCGGGTGGGCACAGAACGCTCTCCTTCTTCTGTCTTGCGATCGCGTCCGAGATAGTAGTCATTGCTGCAAATATTAGGTGAATGTGAAACTGTTATCTGCTCTGGAGGTTGTTCTCTGTATTGGTATACTATTAAACCCTTTTTGTGCCAGGGTGGAGCTTATTATAATGCCAGAAACAGTGTGAATGTCGATGACCGGGTTTAACACTGTGGCTGGAGTTCGTGAGGCATGACCATGTTTGTGTCTTGTGAGTCCGCATGTATATTCCAAAAATCCGGGTCAGAAGAGAGAATGGCAGTGGCAGAGAGAGCCGTCTATACTGGGTTCGAGACATTAAGTATCCGATCCCAGATTATAGCAGGGGCAGACACTCGAAAAAGTATGATGGCGAAGCCATGATCTCAACGACGGCGTGAAGCTTTAAAGTTTAGCTCGCCGGACCTTTCTCTACATTCACCAAATCTAGAGACAAAGATCATCCCCTCGAGGTCGTATTGAACTATCAAACTAAATGAGGGGCATTTTCATCTGCACACATACTATATCTGGCACGAACACCAGCATCTGGGTATAAGCGAGGCTGGTTGTTGCACGAGATTCACAACTGTCGCATGCTCTTTTGTCTGATAATCATACAACTAATGACGGTATTACGACGATAGTATGACAGCGTTATGACAGCATTCTTTCGATCACTACCAGCAATCAGCTATGTTAAGATAGAAGAATGTCTTGACTATGATGACGACACGAAATTCGGGGTAAATTCACTTAGTTCTCAAGTCAGTCTCCTGACCTAATCATCAGTAGTGAGTGTTCCGCTAGACTGGAACAATGATTATGCATGTGCCGACCCGAGGGCTGTCCCCGGAAATGATAAGCTCCCGCAAGTAAAGATAGCATTGTATTCACGGTTGAGTTTCGTAGCAATACAATTGAAGTTGTTTGTGTCTGCGTGAGTGAAAATACTAGGAACTGACACGAATCCAAAAAAGAGATATTGATTACTAATTATGAAGAGCATTCAGTTGATCTGGTATGTATCGCATTTAACTTTTCGAGACGACTACCTAGGCTCGAGCTAGATACTAGATATCCATATCGTATATGAAAGTTCGGAGAATATTCCTGGATCTATCCAGCCGGCCAGGTACAGCCTCTCAATTCTGCAGCGACTAAGTCACGTGTAAGACACACCGCCGATCCGATATCAATGCGCTAACCCAAGAACAGCAACATGCTGGCAGAATTCAAGGCTGAAGTCATTACTGTCCTTCGAATGTTCCTACAATTGTTTGACCCAACAGGCTTGAATTGAAAGCTTTTTGTTATACGATTTCCAATCCGAATCTTCAGGACACCTGTTTCGCTCTGGACCTCAATCATCTCCACGTTACTCGTACCATATTGCACAACAGACGCAATATCCTTTCACACCACCTTGATCCTTCCACGCTTCGTAAATAGCTATGCGTTAATTGCTATCTTCGCCCACTTCATTGACTGAATTCTAAGTGTCATATGCCGTGGCTCTTCCTGTACGACCCAAATTAAAGCTGTCGTTCGGTACCCATCGAAATAATACCAGATAAGTGGAGGAAAGTACAGCATCAGCAGAAAATTGGAAAACGATCGGCTTAGAGAGATTGTAACACCTGCAGCCCGCATTGAAAACTTGTTTTTAAAGTGCGCCATCTGCTAATAATCGCCGTGGAGTATATTTGAGCAACGGGTCCAAGTGAGCGGGCAGTGGCGTGAGAGTTTGTCCAAGAGACTCCACATTGGAATTCTTTTCGTGGATTCACAATCTGCGAGCATCATATGAGACTGATACAATTTTTCGGAAACTTTACTTCGTTTTCAACCCTTTAACATGTCCATCTCAAGTGCTAGAACATCATTGTCTTTCCAGGAACTGACCGGCGAAGGTATATCTGTAAATGCGATGGAGGTTCATGCTATCATTTGCTGACAATGATTGACAGCAAAATTGACGGATGTTGCCAGAATTGTAGAAAGCCTCAAGGCAGATTTAGAGAAAATTAGCCTTCTGCCGCATCGTGAGTATGAATTGATTTCGCATAGTTTAAGACATACTCATTCCTCTTCACAGAACGAGATGCGCTCCTGGAGCAGTTGAAGGTTTATGGTCGTGACCCTTCCAATGCAGACCCGATCTTTACCAAAGAGGTAGGCCACACATATCTAAACACAAGACGTTCCTAATTTTTGCAACAGGGAATCGAGACTCTTTCAAAGCATGCCTTCAATAGCCCTTCCAAGACTACTTCTCGAAATGCGCTTCGATGCCTCGCGAATGCCCTCCTCCTGAAGCCAGATACACGACAGATATTTGTTAGCTCGGGTTATGATGAAAGGGCTTGTGCTCTACTCAAAGATAGAGTTGCATCTGTTGATGACGAATTTTTGTTGTCTAGAATCATCTTTCTTACAACTTACGGTACCACGATAAACATTGAGAATCTCATCGATCAATGTCATCTGGCAGACACCATCTCACACAATATTGCCAACCATGATAAGCTTCACGGTGCGAAGCAGAAGAAAGTCAAACAATCAGATCCAATGGAGGATATGGCTCTTGCTGAATCGCTTAAGCTTCTTTTTAACGTCACACATTTTTGTCCCCAACGAAACTCCAGTTTTTCCCAGGCACTTCCTCATATTTTATCCATTCTTCATAAAATAGAGACGATTCCGAATGCACCTCTAGATTCTCCTATCGCGCAACTCGTCAACACTCTTATCAACATACCTCTTGAAGAACCAGGAAATATTAACGTGCTCTTTCCTAGAGGAAGCCCGAACTTAAATGTCGAGAAGTTTCTTGAACTCCTCGACCATTCCATCAATAAGTACCAAGACGAAGAACTTGAGCAGCTTGTCTCACCACTACTCACCCTCATTCGTAAAACATACGAGATCGGTCCCTCCGAAGTTCACCAATTCATGCAAACCCGGTTACTTCCAAGTGACAAAGACCGTGAACAACCTGTGGGCAGAGGAGAGTCATTGTCTGCACGCTTGATTCAATTATCAACAAGTCCCATGGCGCCCCAAGTTCGGGAATCTATATCTGCATTGCTGTTTGAGCTGTCTGATAAGGACGCTAGCACGTTTGTTCAGAACCTCGGCTACGGATTTGCCTCCGGTTTCTTGTTCAAGCACAATGTCCCTATCCCAGAAAATGCCTTTCAAGCGTGGAGCACGGAAAATGATAAAGGTAATGGTAAGACAAGGCCCAGCCACGATAGTGGTAAAGCAGTCAATCCTATTACAGGGCAACTTCTCGAAGCAGAGGAGAAGATTGATCTCCCAGAGATGAGCCAGGAAGAGAAAGAGAGGGAGGCTGAAAGATTGTTTGTATTGTTTGAGCGGTATTAGAATCTTCCCAAGTAAAAAATCACACAAGCTAACACACTATTAGATTGAAGAAGAATGGAATCATTACTGCGACAAACCCTATGGAGGAAGCGTTACAACAAGGGAGGTTTGAAGAATTGGAGGATGATGCAGATTCCGATTAAGAAAGAATGGTAAAATTTGCGAGATGAAGCTAGGGACTTGCTGGCAACTCTTACTTCCACATGTAAACCATTCTTTCGATGAAAGATGTGAAAGTCTTCCAAAGTCGAAGTATTCTTCTTTCTTTTTGTCCTTGAAGAAATCTATGCATCTTGTACTTGGTTATGCAGCTTTACTGCGAAATGTCACAGCTGATATGCAAAGACGATAGCGGCTATTGAGTCCGACCAATCAGGTCCGGAGTTGGTGAATCTGGTCTTCACTATCCATCATCAGATGGATTCACTCTGCAGTGTAACTACACCTAATACGGGGTATCCCGTAGTCCGGACTACAGTCCAACAATCGAAAATCTTTAGAACAATCAGTTTCTTGAAATAATTTCAGATCTTGAGCTTTTTTAACATTCATCTGATTTGAAATGATAGATTTATGAAATCATTAATAGCATCTCCAGAATCTCAAAACTCGAATCTTAAATAGGAGTGCAGTCTGGATAATCGGCAAACCTGACCCAGTACACGAACGGTAGCGCTACTTCAATCACACAACATGGCATAAGTAACGTTTTGGTCACTTGTCTTCGCAAACCGAGAAGTAATTCTGAACTTTGCCTCTCCTGTCGTGATAGACTTGGAAATATCATTTTTCCTAGATCGAACGTTATCAACGACTATACAGAAGCTTTTTCTTTCACCGCAGAGCCATGTCTTCATCTTGGCAAGCTCAAGCAACAGAAAGGGCTTCTTTAATCCTAGAGAAAATCCCTCATCAATGGAGACTCTCGTCAAATGAAATTGCATATGCAAGAGCCCAGCGAAATATTACATCATCTATCATTTGCAAATATCTAGATCGATTCGAGCAAGAAGTCTTGAGTCATGATCCAATTTCTATGGTAAGGAAGCTTAGAAGTGGAGAGTGGGCAGCGGTTCAATGTGTTCTGGCTTCTTGCAAAATTGCTTGCATTGCTCACCAAATTGTATGTTTCTTACCTTCGGTCTATGATATGCTATTGTCGACTATCGATGATTGTTATGAAACTCACTAAGATAGAATCCTTGCTTGCTTAACATAATGATATCTGAAGCAGTGGAAAAAGCGAGAGGTTTAGATGAATCCTTTAAAAATGAGGCGGGGTCTATCAAAGGGCCTCTTCACGGTCTTCCAATCAGCGTCAAAGATCAATTCCATATAAAGGGGTCGGATACGACCATGGGCTATGTTGGATGGATCGGTACTTTTGAGGGAGATAGCAATAGCAATAAGGTGGGTATGGTAGATAGCCAGATCATCTCTGAATTAGAGGAGCAAGGTGCGGTAGTCTTCTGTAAAGTATGCATTTCCCGTAATATTTGGCTTTTGAATATTTACTGACAATCAGGAAGACCAGCTTGCCACAAACCGTTCTCGTAAGCTTCAGTTCCCATTTGAGTGAAAGTGGCAAGCTAATTGATGTTCAGTATGACGAAACTATCAATAATATCATAGGCCAGACACTCAATCCAGTCAATCGACTTCTCTCCTGCGGTGGTTCTTCTGGGGGTATGATGATGCAAATCATTTTTCAGTGTGAATTTGATTGATCTGACGATATACTCTAGGTGAAGCCGCGCTCATCTCGATGGGTGGAAGTTCATTGGGTATAGGTACTGATATTGGTATCTACACCGTTCTACATACCGTTAGTCCAACAATTGACTTCAGCATAGCCGGTTCCATTCGTGTACCAGCTGCATTCTGTGGTATTTACGGCATTAAGCCAACTCATAATAGATTCTCTTACCGAGAGGTTGCCAATACTGTACCTCAAATACAATATTCCCTCCTAACTATTTACCATCATACTAATTAGCTATCTGCAGAATCCTGGGCAAACACTAATCCCCTCCTCAGTTGGATTCCTTTCACGTTCGCTCGAAAGCCTAGAGTTAGTCATGAGCAGCCTTTTGTGCACATCACCTTGGCTCCGCGATCCAGCTGTCGTTCCAATACCCTGGCGTAAAGAGAATCAACCTGAGGCCGGGAACAGGCTCAAGTTTGGCATTTTCTGGTGGGATGGAATGATTCAACCTCATCCGCCTGTTACACGGGCATTAAAAATGGTTGTAGCTGCTTTGAAGAATGCAGGACATGAGGTATTCGGCTTATGATGAAATATGGTTGTGGGACAGCAGGTTAATATTATATTCAGGTCATAGATTGGTGTCCACCATCTCATAGTATACCCGAGCGACTTCACGTAGGTTTTCTCTCTGTTCAAGTTTTTAACTAGGAGCTGATAGAAATCCATCTATCAGCCAGCAATAATGAATGCAGATGGATCCCGTCATATTCAAAAACAGCTAGCATTATCCGGGGAGCCATTAATCAATGATTTACAAAACTTTTACACATTAAAACCACCAATGTCTCTTCTCGAATATCAAGATCGAGCACTACAACTCCGAGATTATAGACAGGCTTACTCTGATTATTGGAATAGTACAGCAGATGCAGATGGGAATGTGGTGGATGCAGTAATAATGCCCGCAGCTCCCCATGCTGCTGTTATACCTGGAAATTGGGAACATCTCGGTATGTGCTCCATCTAGGCAGCAGTATTTGTCACAGGAATATAATGCTGATGGATGTAGCTTACACGGAAGTTCTCAATCTTTTGGATTATACGGCGTTGGTTATTCCAATCACTCATGCGGACAAGGATGTGGATGAACATCATGTTTATGTACCGGTCAGTGAGAAGGATTTGAGGACTTGGACGGCGTATGATAAAGAGATATATGAGGGTGCACCTGTTGGGATACAGATTGTGGGGAGAGTGTGTGAGGAGGAGAAGATTATTGGGGTGGCGAAGATTGTCGAGGAGGCTTTGGGGAAGTGAAGGGGGAATTTTGAGATAAGCGATGGTTATTGCAAATATGTTGTTATGGGTTTCAAACGATGATATTACTTATCTGATCTCATGGGAAGAGATTTCATTAAGTTTGGAGGTCTTTGTGATGATTCATGCATGTATTCTGAACATTATTGTACCAGATATTCAGAAGTCTTGGAAATTTCCAACCTCTTATTGTTTCAATATGAAAAATCGACTTTTTCTTAACGAATATCAACAAGGAACGGCTTCCAAATCACCAGATCTTTTTGGATGCTAAGATCTCGTCTCATCCCCATGAATCAAAAGAGCCCAAACAATCACACTCCCTCAGACAATCAACTTTACACATTATTCTGTCAACAAATTCAAGACCTAATAAAACCACATCGTTTCGAGCATCCCGCTGTTTTCATCCTTCAACCGATGATTGAGATTGAGTAAGATGACTCACTCTGCTACCCATCTCTCTCATAACCTTCGCTTTCCACTCTCGATAGATTTCCTTTTCCAAAATCTTCCCATCGAAATTCTCAAACACATCATGATGACAATCATGCCATATATCTAATTGCTCCCAAAACCCGGTATTAGGTTGTACCCGCGATCTCGTCTGACGCACGACAGCTAGAGCTTCTTCTCGATTCAAAGCTCTCTTCCGCATCACTGAATGCGAAGTTAGTCAAATCAATATCATGACCCATGAAGTAAGAGGAGAGTGAATTCACCGTATCCCAAAACAACTGTTCCAGATCTACTAATTCCCAGACCGCAATGAACTAACACACCCCGATTTTCGCGAAGTGACTTATCAATCACTTCACACGCATCTTTCATAATCTGTAGGATATCTTCCAGCGCATCATCTTGTACTCGAAAGTCTGTGTGAGAGAAACCAAGTTCGAGATATCGAGTACGAAGCCATTGGGGTAGAGGTTGATCATTCACGGATATGATTGTACATATATTTTTGCTTTGGAGATTGGAGATGTTGTATGTGGATAGTATACTGAGGGTATTAATTAGTAAGATGGACTAAAAGGAGAGAACAGAATCTTGATTAACTCTCCGATCCATAAATTAGGCAGAATTTCGTCCATATTCAAGTTTTGGCTGTGGGTGCCGGGATTGTTTATTACTTGGGCCATGGCGACGAGAGGAGTTGGATGGATGAGATGATGGATATACTTGTTCTCTCTGGGAAATGGGAAGAATATCAGAGTATAAATATGGCAGACAATGTAGTACTAGGAAAACTTCCCTCCAGGCTTTCATACTGTGTAATTCTGGAGCCTTGTATCCGCCACAAAACTACCTGCTGTCTATAAGATCTGCTAGGCTTCCGTTGAATTCTATCTACTTGATAGTATACATGGCACATCAGCCCTTCAAAGTGCGGGAAGTGTACGGGAAACTTGATGATCTTCATGAAGTAATGTCTGTAATAATTCTGCTCACAGCGGCGATACATGAAGGCGTGAAAGTATATATCGAGTGCGATGAGATATCCTGTCGGTTTATCTCTTGCAGTATGCTTTACTTATATGGTTGTACTGGAACAAAATCCAAGGTATATGATACTCTCGACTGTATGTAGTTGAATAACGAAAAGCTTTAAAGTCCTGAATGGAACTAGAATATTCAAAGTAGATAGAAGTTTCAATGTATTCCAGAAATTGAATCCTTCTTGTTTATTCAAAAAATTAAAAGAATAAATGGGTTTCAAAAATTGAATTACTTTCAATTATTCGGATCAATTAATACATTATAAATATTGAACACAGTTCAAAAACTCAATTGTCTGAAGTTGTTTGAATTGTCTGAATAAGAAAAATAGATTTTGAAGATCAAATTGTTTTAGCTATTCAAAAGGTCTTAAAAATTGAAAGTACTAACATTATCATCGCAATAATCATTGCGTGCAGGTTTAATTCGAATGGAATCATTTTGATAACGTAGCTACCGGGATCGAGGTCTCCCCAGCCTCGTTTTTCTGCAGCGATGTAGTAGCTTGTTTGACATGATAATATATATATAAAAACCATCTTCATTTACATCAAACACGCAATCCTTCTATGGTGTAATGGTTAGCACGTCGGATTTTGATTCCGGAGATATTGGTTCGATTCCTATTAGAAGGTTCTCACAAGAACATTCTTTCATTCCATACTCAGTTTAAACCTGAGATCAAAGGACTGCGATTTTTTTGATTTTTTTTGATCTTTTTTCGCTTGGTCCATCTCTTTCTGGTCGAAGAATATTGCTTGGCCATTCCTAGATCGGATGCCAGCCGAGAAAGCCCCACATATTGGGTCATATATGTGGGTCGTCATTGTTATGAAGCTAGCCAAGCTCCTATTATTAATCATCCACACGTGATATTCTATCATCTAATTCAGCTCCTGCTTACTGTGAATCAAGTGATGGCCGTGTTCCATCTTCAATATTTTATATATCTTCTGTATCCCGTTGTACAAACTACCCTTGACTCCTACCACCCACCTAAGGTTGTATGATAAGTCAGTCCTAAGCTCCTTAGGTACTATCTACTTGATTGTTTTTTCCGTGTCCCGTTATACAATATACCCTCATGCAGGATCCACCCCGAAAACGTATTCGAGCCCGAAATGCATGCGATAGTTGCCGTAAGAGGAAGCGGAAATGTGATGGTTGCTCACCATGTTCAGAGTGTGTAGGTTATGAATACGATTGTAGCTTTTCTCCCAACATAACGCCAGCCAGCTCTATGAAGAAAGCAAAGCTATCTCATGAGCCAACATTCCAAGGATCCCAATCTCAGAACATTTCCAGTACAGTTGCATCGAGTACTGAATCTTCTGATCTCACACAAAGAGGAGGAAAACATTCCAATCTTGCTCTTGTAATCAATGGAAAATCAGATGAAACTCCAGCCAAATTGTTTCACCAGGAAGACATTAAACAAGGCACTGCTAGCAATGAAACCACGAATGATTTATCGATTTTGGAGCCATACAAATGCAGGTTTACCAGTGCAAATAGTGCCATCGCATTCCCCAGATGTCTAGGAATGGAATTGGAGATGGCCACACCTCCACGGTTGCACAGTTATGCATGGAATACCGGGATCCGGTCAGAAGCACCGAAACCGAATTATATGCGTTTACATGAATTTTGTTCTTGGGGATTTGCATCTTCAGCAATCGATGTTTATTTTGAACACATCAATCCCGTTTTTGGATTTTTAGAAAAGGAAAAGTTCCTACACAGATGTGAGCTTTTTTGGAAAGATGACACGGGAAGTATTGGATTCGAGGCCCTTATCTGTGGGGTTGTAACTTTGGGTGCATTGTTCACGAGACAGATTGCATCTGTGCTTGAAGGTGATGTCTTCGAGCATGGCCGATGCTTGCTGGAGCAAGGATCTCAGAGGCATGGCGATATGTCTCTTGAACATGTGATGGCATGGACATTACGGGCCCTTTATCTTCGGTCCACGAGTCGTCCCAATTTGTCTTCATTGGCAATATTTACGACCGTTCATTTGGCTGAATCAATTGGCCTTCATCGAGAGTTGGATACTGTTGTTTTCGCCGTTGACGGATCAAGAAAGGTTTTCTCACCTGATGTGTTGGAATTGCGTCGGAGGGTCTTTTGGATCGTGATGTCCCTGAACCAATTATTCGCTGCCGAATACGGCCGTTCAAAGGTTTCCTTGGACAACGTTAGATGCCGAAAGCCTATCGCTAAAGAAGGAGATTCAATCGGCGACTTGATTGCAATGGCGGAACGGCTATCCTCTTGCACTGGTTCCGACGTTGACCCTGATGCCCTGCGAATAGCAATTGAACATTTGTCGATCTTACCTTGTAACCATTCAGGACTGACCATGATCAAGGCAGATGTTGTTTTATGTCTCGCTCGAAAACTACACCTAACTCATTCAAAATTCAGTTCTTCCGTCTTAAACACTATAATGGTAGTTCTTCGCAGTGCCTTTGCGGAGTCCCGAAATCTATCAGACAAGCGAGTTCCCTGGTGGAATGTGGTCAGCGTTCCATTCAACACGGTTTGTTTACTCCTGTCAATAAACACGCGTCAGAGCATATCCTTTTTGCCCCAAGCCATGGATACTCTAGAATTCGCTAGCAAATCATGGGATACCCATCTCTCGAGAGAGGCTTTCCATACTGCGCAAATGTTGGTCAATCGATTCATAGATATGAAGCGTGAAGATCAGATGGTTCTGGAATCCCTCCATCGTGTTGTCGATCACCCTAGTGTATCTTCAAGTACACAGAATTGGACAGGGACTATTGGAGATGACCTGTTCGGAGGCTTAAATGGACAGGATTTTGGGTGGGCACAGTTCTTCGGTGATGTTGTGGGTTAATTTGGAAGTTACTCTAAGAGAATTTTCATATTCACTTCTGGCAGAGACAAATATTAGCCTCGGAACGATCTACCTGCACGCCACCACTCCTTCAAAGGAGCAATTAGGCTCAAGACTAAATGAAGGACGCGCAGGGGTGCTTTGATCTCTCTGTGAAGGAACAACCACACCCCTAGATAGCACGCGATTACTTGCCGAGTAAGTTACTAGCAAATGGTATTTTTGTTCTCTTTTAGGTTATTCATCGGGGCTAAACCGGAAATGTAATCGTTGTAAAAAGTCGGCCTTTGAGAATTAACCTTGAGTTTCCTCGTGAGAACTCACGTAATCATCGGAATTCCTTGAGAGGCTATGGGGCACACCACAGCAACAACTCACAGCGTCTTATGTATATACTTTAGGGTGTGCTTCGTAGGATTTGGTAATTAACGGGAACATCTTACAATTAATGGTTCTTCAGCAGGTGCTTTTGTCTGTCTCCACTTGCTTTATTATGAATTATCAAAGTCTTCCGCAATATCCACTCCATCCACCCATCCAATGATCACTTCAAGCGAGAATGCAGATATACTAGGATAATTGCAGTGTTTGAATTGTCAAGAGTCATATAAAGGTGAAGATCACGACAAAATTGAAGAAGTCACTTCATTTCCAGGTCTACATGATTTACAATGACGTTGCAAGATCACAACATCGAGAAGCTCGATGATACAGAAGCAAGTGTTGGTTGCAATCAACATCCAAGTGAGCCCATAACTCCTACTATCCCTCCCGAAGGAGGTCTTACAGGCTGGCTATGCGTTATCGGTTGCTCAATGTGCATGTTTTCCACTTTTGGGTTTCTCAATGCGTATGTCCTCTTCACGTCCCATACATATGTTCCTTAGTATACCGCTCATAGCAATCATACAGAATCGGAGTGTTTCAGACGTACTACCAACTTCACGAACTGAGTCACTATACCCCATCCACCATTTCCTGGATATTCGCTCTACAGTTATGTCTTATGTGGCTTCCAGCTCCGTTATTTGGCCGTCTCTTGGATACTTATGGCCCTACTCCAGTCTTAATACCGTGTAGCGTTCTTTGTGTCTTCTCTTTGTGCATGACTTCGCTGTGCCATAAGTATTATCAGATTATTCTTGCCCAAGGAATTGGGTTCGGTTTTGGGGCATGTGGTATCTTTGTAGCTGCATTTGTGTGTGCAGGACAATGGTTTGAAAAGCGGAGGGGATTAGCTCTTGGAATTGTTACTGCTGGAAGTAGTTTGGGTACAAATTTGATTCCTACATTTGCCGTTGTTTCTTACTAACTTTGAGGTTAGGAGGAGTAATATTTCCAATCTTCGTCAATATACTCATCGATGAAGTTGGCTTTTATGGTACTGTCCGTTATGTCGCTCTTCTTATTGGTATTCTACAAGTTTGTGCTTGCTTTCTTGTCAGGGCTCGCATGCCTCGGGAGAAATGGAACAAAGAAGCGAAATGGGTTGATTTCACCCTCTTCAAGAATCCCGCGTTTGCATTGTACACCGCTGGTGCTTTTCTCGTTATGTATGTGCTTTATCCCTCTGATCATTGTTGATTCTCGTCCACAGCTGACCTGCATGATAGGTGGGGACTTTGGGCACCATTCGATTACATCTCAAGTATGGCTCTTAATCACGGCTTCTCCAATTCTCTTTCTATCTATCTAATTTCCTTGATCAAGTACGACTCCACTCTCTTCTTAATGTCTAATATTCTGACCTCCCAGCGCCGGTTCTATACCGGGCCGTATTCTCCCTGGTCACCTTGCCGACACGATCGGATACTTCAACACAATGACCATCGTCTGTATCCTAACAGGCCTCTCAATCATCACCCTCTGGGTTCCCTTTACATACCATTCCTCCCACGTCGGCCTGATTTTCTTCGCTGTAGTTTATGGATTTCTATCTGGTGCTTTCATTTCTCTAATGATGCCTTGTTGTGCGAAATCTGGCACGCTTCAAACGTTGGGTCAAAGATTCGGCACGTTTCAAAGTGTCATTGCGATTAGTTGTCTCACGGGATTGCCTATTAGCGGAGCGATATTGAATGGAGAAGGGAGTGGAGTTGGGTATTTAGGACTGCAGATTTTTAGTGCGGTGGCTATGGTGGGTGGGGGTGTGGTGATTGGGGTAGCGAGGATGGGAATGGCGGGATGGGAATTGGGGAAAAGGGTTTAGGGTCTGCGAAATATCCAAGGAGTTGATGGAATAGTGCTTTGATATGAGTTCACGTAGGCCTACTGTTCATGCGTGGGAGAAAACCAAGTATGTGTATATACTTGTCTTTGGGCATGGCACAAAGTTTGGCCATGATTAATCAGAAAAGTCTTTCCCTATTTCAATATTCGCCTATTCTACACGCAACATGTTCTGAGTGAGATGCAATCTTTGACTGCACGTCTTTGAAATCGTCATCAACATGTGACTCATGTTGATCAATAGATACAACAGCACTCTTTCGTCCGCCATTGCATGAACACCATGAAGGGACTTTCAGAAGAAAATCATCTACTCAGAGGATTTACCGGACTTGGACTGTAGAAACCTACAGTGCAGGTGCCTCTTGGGCAACTCCCGGTGCAGTAGTTCAGCAATTAGGCAAGAGACTGGGTGAGATGAAGAACCAGTCATGAGTCAGGAATATTGCGGAAAGTAATCTCGAGAGAAATATCACTCGAATGAGACAGAGAAGCAATAGACTGCATCAGGACTAAGTCAAAAAATCTGGAATGTCGTTCCATGACTTGTGCTCCTCTCTCTGTAGCCAACACCATATTAGGGCAATGAAAGATGTAAAGTCCACTTGGTCTTGAAAGCAGCGAAGCTGAGATAACTGCTTATAAGGTTTAACCTACAAGCACAAGCTAAGTATATAGGTTGACATGCTACGAGATATGACCATCCCAATAATTCTGGGCATGCATTGCATTTTCATCTTAAATGCCTGACGAATTTGCCATCAAATGCTTTTGTAAGAACGCTTCGATTTGGCATCCCCTCTTTTTTCTATTGGGCAGTACATGAATGTATTTTCCTACCCAGTAATACTCATCAGATTGTGTTATGTTATAAATTACTATTGAATTTGTAAGATTGAAGGATTTGTGAAAGGTGGTCTTTTGCATCCTCAATTTTAGCGTTGTCAGCTCAGTACTGTTCCCACTAAATTTCCACTTGACAGCCTCGTCGTGTCTCAACATAAAAAAATTATTGACCAAAACCTCAGAAAAAAACATCCGAAAGTTATTGCACTGCACTCTTTCACTTTTGTAAAACAGAACGAATCTCCCTCACCATGGATCAACTTCGTACCGCCCTCCAACCCATAACCCATAACCTCCCCGCGCCTATCAAAGACTTGGGAGTATCTCTCATCGGCGAGAAATGTTACAAAACACTCCTCCTCGATATCGATCCAACGCACACAGAATGTCTCAAACTCGGTATCTCTAAGGGTCTTGGAGTAGGAATCATCGCAGCGTCTTCGATTGTCAAGATTCCTCAACTTCTCAAACTTGTCTCCTCCAAGTCTTCCGATGGAATATCCTTCCTCTCCTACCTCCTCGAAACATCCGCCTACATCATTTCCCTCGCCTACAATTATCGATCAGAGTTCCCATTCAGCACATATGGCGAGACTGCTCTCATCATGGTGCAGAATGTTGTGATTGCGGTCTTGGTTTTGAACTACAGCGGAAGAGCTAGCACCGCCGCTCTTTTCGTAGCAGGATTGGCCGCAAGTGCCGTTACGCTGTTCAGCGGCAACATGCTAGACATGCAACAATTGGCATACCTACAAGCCGGTGCTGGAGTTTTGGGGGTTGCAAGTAAATTGCCGCAGATCTTGACTGTTTGGCAAGAGGGAGGAACAGGACAGTTGAGCGCTTTTGCTGTAAGTTTTTATTCGTCTATTTACATACATGCAAATAACAAAATGCTAATTTAAATCTCCAGGTCTTCAACTACCTTGCCGGTTCCCTTTCAAGAATCTTTACTACCCTCCAAGAAGTGGACGACAAACTCATTCTCTACGGATTCATTGCTGGTTTTGCACTCAACGCAATTCTGGCTGTCCAAATGGTATACTACTGGAACTCGCCCAGCAAGAGCAAGAGCAAGAAGAGCAAGAGCAAGAAGTCCTCAAATGGAAAGCAAAAGGTTCCTGTTGCAGCCTCCCCTGCTGCAACTACCACTCAATCTCAAAAGAGCACAGCCAAGAGTCCTAGCACACGTAGACGTGGTTAGATCCGTCTCTGGGAATCATTTTCTTTTTCAATATTTTACTGTTCTCGACTCCTGCATGGTGCAGTTGAAGTCTTTATGATCTATAGTGCGGATGAGTAGATGAAAGAATCTAATCTAATTGTCCTATATTCCTATCTAAAACTTACACGATCTGTGAATTTGTCAAAGCCAATGCTATATATACCTCCCGTCAGTTCTTTTCCATGCTAAAACTATTATTGCTAAATCATTACACGAAAATTCCCTCTTCCACATAGATAAAACGAATTCTTGGCGAGATCAAGACAGATCCAGACCTTTTCTTCTCAATCTGACCCATTCCATTTTTTGAAACTTCTGTATCCCTTCAATCGTCTCCATTCTTGAAATACAACCTATCCCAAAGAATTTCATTGACTCCAACTCTCATACTTCTTTCGTTTCTTCCCCTTCCCACTTCATTTACCCTTCTCTCCAATTCAAAATTCCAACTCCGCATCTAATCACATAGATAACCCCGAGCTTCTGTTTCACTACACGCTAATTGTTATTACTCTCTATTGCCTATCTTCATTTTATATTACCCATGGCTTTCTCGTGTTTCGATCTCCCATTCAACCTAAGCCTCAATATAATTCCGGCAGCCCATCACCTTGGTTTTTATAAGACATTAGTGGGAAAGGGTAGCGAGAAAGCAGGAAAGGGATGGTAGGAGATATGTATAGAATAGATAAACTCCGGGATATAGATTCGATGACGGAAAGGGGGTGATGAAGACGGGGGCGGAGTTGACAAGAGAGGTAGACTGCGGGAAGAGGTCGGAGGTTGTAAAACTTTAGCGAGGAGTATGGAAATGAAAGTGGATAGTGAGCATGTCATGCCTAGAACTGACAAGCCCGGGTACTATATAATCTACGTAGTCATTTGCTTATATTACCATTACTCTTGCTGCAAAGAGTCACACATTCCTACGCACCAACTCCTGCAAGTAGGGCCAATTTGGAGGTTATATTGTAGATTGATTAATATTAGATTGTAAAGAGCACCGCCCGCACAAGTAGCTTGTAACTACATGTCTGCACTTGCTTCTTACTGTGGTTGATGGAGTAGCTTGGCCCGCGTGGTTTAACACCGCCCCTAGCCAACGTATGTGGAATTCGATTTCCTGATATCGGATAATGGTGTTGGTGACTACACCGACCAGCTTAGGATTCAGACGCATCCCGACAACACTCAGCCACTGGATCATGAAGCTCTGCTCTCATGTGCAAGGCGGAAACTTACCACCGAGGGCACGATATCAAAGCTCTCTGTCTGGCGATGCGCCAATACAGCTTGATTTGTTCTTCCCACATGGTGGCCTAGCTTCAGATAACCCCACTGGTAGCAAATCTCAGTATCTCTTCTTTGGTCCTCACTCTTCCATCTTTCCTCGTAACTCCCTTCTCTGGTGCCTTTGCCTTTTTTTTCTCGACGGGTTTACCAACTCCTCCCATAACCTCATCATCATCTTCCTCCTCATCTTCATCTTCATCGTCAGTATCTTCTTCATCCTTAAGTCCTGTATTGACATTATCCACATCACCACTCGCCCTCTCCTCCCACGTATACTCATCGGTAGCCTCATTTAATGCATATTCTCTTATCCTTGGCCCAATCCAATCTGACGCCCATTTCCAGGTCTCTTCAATATCTTCCCCGCCTTCCGCACCATCTATCTGTAAATTGCGACCCTCATCAACCCAAGTCTCTACTTGTGGTTCTAGCTTTTTGCGCAGTAGTTGTAGGAGAAGTCCTTCTTGTGTGCGGCCGGGGAAATTGGTAGAGGGGAATGCGACGATTCGAGAAAGAAGTTCGCTATTGGCTGCGAGATGATCGGTGACAGATTGGATATTTGTACTTAGAATGGATGAAGATGTCATTATTGAGGAGCTATTGTCAACCAATTAGCAAAAATGAATGCGCAATCCAGAATGCGACAAGTATGGGAATGTACGAACTATTCAGGTAGAGGTGCGCCCCTCTGGAAATCAGCTTTCAGAGATGCGATATTAGCAGTCAAATGTAAGAGACGCTGACGAGTCTGCTCGAGGGCTTTGATATCTTCTTGCTGAAGTGCCATGATTGCGATTTTGGGTTGTTGTCGCAAGAGTGGTTGAAAATGATTGCGATATTGATTTGGAGGTTCAGACTTTGGGGTTCGGCGGGCTGGACTGGGCCTTTAGCGCGGAACAAAGCCGTGGGGTATGGCAGCAATTAGGGTGCTACGGTCGAATAAACCACTAAAATACAGCATCAATTTTATGAATTGTTCCAACTATAAAAAGATCTCAATCAGATGATACACTGACAATTTGTTTTCTGGGCGATGGTAAATGTTTGCTTATATACCCTATCAATTCTTTTCCAAGCAGAAACGCTGAAGATGACTCAAATGAGATCCAATACATAGTGTAGTATTCACTTGTTTTCACTCATTTTCCTCTCAAAGCACTCTCAAAGCATTCAGCAGGAACTTGAGAAGTGCTTTCCTCTACAGATTTCTTCCCAGTCGTTATGAATGCAATCTTGCCGCTCTACAACTTTCTTCTTCACACGCTCAGCCTCTTTTACATACAGACGCTTGATGCTCATCGGCCACATCTTTGTCTCAACAACGGCAAGGTCCTGAGTCTCTGTCTTTCTTGACAATCTATGCTCCAGGAAAGGTAGAAGAAGCTGTGCAATTCAAAGGTCCTTGGCATTGGCATGATTGTTTGCGTTAAATACCATCTTGGAAGATCTTTGAAATCGAGAACGAGTTCAAAGCGTGATGGGAAGGCTTAATTGACCTAAGATTGACGATGGTCGTTGGTCTCAAGCACTGAATACAATGAAGAAGCTGCGCCACAGTCCTTCTTGATTGCCATCTTGAAAGAGAAACCAATTTCAGAATGGTGGACTGGTAAGACAGATTTTCAACCAAAGAAACCACTTCATGGGTGTTATGAACCTTGAGCGTAGCCTTCGGATATCTTGAATCTCTAGCATTGGTCGAAGAAACGGAATCATGTTCCAGTATTATGTTTTCTTGAGTTGATGTAATTGGAGCCTTGTATCTTGCTCTATTGTGCTCTATTGCCACTTCTAGACGATAAAGCTCCAATTGTGATACTAGTAGGGTAGAAAGGAGGCTCAACTCATCAATCATCAATGAGCATACTGTCCAACATTGAGACATCCATCATAATCATCATTTTTGCCTTTGCAATCCGAGGGACACCTAAATACAGCTGTCAATCAGGTCTGAGTAGTCTGGTTCTACTATATTTTACCTTTCATTTTCAACCCCTCAATATATCCTATATCAACTATCACAATCTTATTTTCAAATTGGAATGAGTTTCAGCAAAGTGCTAGAAACGTCGCTTGCTTTTCTGTTCTGCATCAGGAGTTCTGCTATCTTTCCTTCATTCTTAGCATGATCATTGATCTTGTCGTATGCGCCTTTCCGTGATCAATACCCGAGAGCTCTCTGTCGTTGTTGATTGTGAATGTAAATGTTCAAAATACTGATCTTATCATGAAGAGGAGCTTCATATCTGTTCCACAGGATATCAATAACATTCACTGACGCTATTTGATACTTGTATATCTTTTTTATATTTCTTATGTTTCTACTTCATCCGGTACTCGTTCTACCTTTTCTTTCATACTATTCTAGTAATTATTTCTTGCCAATGAACCTCCCTTGATTTTAAACCCTGAACTATTCACTAATCCTTGCTACTTTTGATATTATCACGTTATGTCTGATCATCAAGTTTAGAATCCTGACTATATGTAGGAACCAGAAAAGTTTACTCAAACACAAGGTACATCATTGCACTCATAGTATAGTCAAAATTAGAGCAGTCAAGTTGTGGGATCAAGTCGTAGTTGAATGACGGTTCGTTCTTTGATTTGACAACACCTTTGTGCGCGCTATATCTCGTAATGCTTTTGATCCTTTTTGAACTTAAGTTCACAAGTATTGTTTATAGTTGATATGATCCCCGCTTTGCTTCAAAATATCACTATCAACTGCTTATGTTTCCCTCGTTTTGATGTACCAGAACAACACTCTCCCCAAGGATGCTCCATTCTTCTTCGTCGATTTTATCACCGTGTATTTCTTTGACACCTTCACTTTCAACGCCCCATTTACTCCTCTCTATCAAGCCCCATAAAGTATCAAGGTCATGAGCGTTAGCGACACCAGAGTCTCCAATTTGCGAGATGATATTTTCAAGGTCTTCAACAACATCGCTGATATCCGAAAAAAGAGCTTGGTATTCGTCATCTCTGCCTTCAACTCCCAAATTATCTTCAAGTTGCAACTCTAGAGGTTCAGGTATGTGAGATACCTGATTATCTAGATCCCCATTCTGACATGCCCTTTTAACACATTCATTTGCCTTGGCCTGAATTTGAAACTCTTTGTCTATTAAGTGTTCCGTCGACATGCGCCATCGCTCTTGCTGTGCTTAATTACCACGAAATGATGCAGTTAGAAATGCCCATTACAGCCAATTCAATGGCGAGAACGAGAGGTGTTTTGTCCAGAAGTTAAGGCCTTCAGATGTCGGATGATAGATAGAAATGAGCAGGAAGACCTCTATCAAGCATTGAGGAGTGGGGTAAAAGAATGACGTTCCATACGGAAGACCGAGAAGAGTGTTGAAAAGGTATCGAAAAAGATTGTCCCATACACAATGTAGGTAAATTGCGGCATGGTTGATACTCGATAAATGACTCGCAATTATTGGGAGAGATTGATTGGAGAAAGTTCCGTGATGGTGGATGATAGCTTTCTGGAAACTGTAGAGGAGATAAATGGACGAGAGGACATATGTGTAGAAGATGAAATTTGAGGCTTCCTTGGTGGTGATTTTTAAGATGGCATTATCGCAATCAGGGAGGAGAATTTCAAAGAGGATTTGGGAAGTCGTGGGTTCTGTGCGAACAAACTCAAAATTGTGTATGGAGTGTGAATTCATTTTGATATATATCATGCTATGGTTCAAACTTCAGATCAATTTGATATTATTGATGGTGGTTCGAGGATTAGAAGGCCGCAAGTTGCAGGTTATCAACGTCTTGAAGATCTCTGGCAGTTTAAGACCGCTGAATAAGGGGTTTGGTAGGTAGTGAATCTAATTATATTGTACTAGTATTCATTTTTTGGCGTTTGGTCCTCTGCTTTACGACCGGCAAGTGTCGGCGCCAGATTCATTGCAAGTTGCATCACTAATAAAGGCTTTATTTCTAGGAACCCTGGATAAAACTGCCTATACCAGTTGAGACGTTTTTCTCTCAACACCTCAATTGCATTCTGGTAAGATTGATCTTGAGGATATCATTCACAATAAGGATTTCATCTAAATGGGAGAGGTTTTGAAGTGAAATTTTACCTGAAATATGGACGTTGGTAGCCACACTGAAAGGTGACTAGCAAGTGATTAGATGCACTTCCAAACCTTGATTATCAGTCACTCTATGAGTATATCGGACGCACATCTGTAAAGTTTCAATACAATTCTAATAAAATGCCAAATTCAGCACGCCATACCCGCCCCTGGATAGTTTTAGAAGCGCTCCAATATCAGAGGTTGATTATGGTTCGAGTAATTGCATCTGGGAATTTCCTATATTCATTAAATATGCTATCATTACCGGATGGAAATTCGTCCTGAAGGGGTAGTTCATACCTTAATCGTGTGGCGTCGTGAATATTCTCACGATGCGTAATTCAGTGACAAACTGTGATATGTGGATGGGTTATGTTTTGATTTCACGGCTATCTTGATTGGTCTTTAGCGAGTTCAAGTGCATTCTTCAACCAAAACACACATTCTCCTCCTAGCAGCATCTTGGCAGTTATGCTACCACTAACAAAATCAACACTACAGTGAAGGGAATCTCGGTACAAGGTCCAATAGAATCTCTATCTTGTGATAATTCGCCATCAAGCACGAGATTTTTGTAGTCTGTTTTGATTTTACATTCCCATGTTTGATATTCCGCCCATGGCGGAGATTCATTCCTAACAGCTTTGATGCTCAACAATGGGGCTCGAATTTGAATCACAACACTGAAGAAATTGAATATATAATCACGATGCAATTCCTTCTTTCCTTCTTCTCGTACATCAGGAACCAACTTGTATACACTCTTTCTTCCAAGCAATAAATAGTCTTCAAGACATACCACATTCACTTACTTGAAATTAAAGTTTTTCATCATGAAGACCCAAACAATTCTTTCAATTCTTTTGGCTACGGCCCATCTCGCTGCTGCTCAAGGAGGACCAATTCGTGGACCTGGGGACACTGATGTTGGAAACAACGCTCCCCAAGGCGGAAACAACAGTCCTCAAGGTGGTAAGTCTTTTAAATTGCGAGACATCTATGATCCGACATACTAATAACAGTAGGATCGAAACCACAACCACCAGCATCAAAAGAGACTACAATCTCTGAGGCTTACGGATCGTCAAACTCCGGAGCCAATCAACAAGCAATTTGCGAGTGTTACCCAATTGATGGCTCTGACGCACCAGCTCTGACTGCGGCTACCAGTCGTAAGTGATCCCTTCTTATTCCGCGTTAAACCACAACTAGTAACATGATTTTCAGAGGAACAAGGTGCCAATTCGGACAGTGGTACATCATTCACGCACATCGTAGATACTACTCCTCCTAAGAAGCAATCGAAGCGACAACGTGGTGGAGACGCCACCGAAGAGGAAGATCCTGAGGCACAAAACGCCGCAGGAGGAGGGAAGCCAAAGCCTAAGCCTAAGCCAACCAAGCCAGAAGAAGCTGCTGCTTCAGCTTCTGTTGATGCTACTCAAGTCGGTATCAATGCTGCTGGTGGTGCCGGCTCTGCTGCAGGTCCATGGGGAGCCGTCTCCTATGCTGGCCCCGCAATTGGTGCCAACTATCAAGATATTGATGGAAACTGTGTTTGCCCACCAGGTCAATCTCCCCACAAGCCAAAGGGGCCAAGCGGAGGTGCTCCCGCAGAGGAAGGTGGTGCAACTGGCGGCCCATCGACTGGCGGCCCATCGACTGGCGGCCCATCGACTGGCGGCCCATCAACTGGCGGCCCATCGACTGGCGGACCATCAGGCGGACGCCCAGAAGGAAATGGCAATGAGAGCGGAAACGGAAATGGAAATGGAAATGGAAATGGCAACGTAAGAATGTTCAATTTCATGAATCAAGAATTCTCTTTGAATTCACACCCAACTTTCTGCAATCGGCTCTGAATAGCTTAACAAAGACTGAATGATCATATTATAGGGCAACGGCAACGGCAATGAGAACGAGAACGAGAACGAGAACGAGAACAAAAATGAGAACGAGAACGAGAACTTGAATGTAAGAAAATTGCAGATCTCTAACTCCCTTTCTACTTTCAATACTCCTTTCCACAAAAAACTTCGTGTTATACTGACGAATCATTCGCAATAGGCCAACATCAACAAGAACGAGAATGTTAACATCAATGGCAACGCTAATGCCAACATCGTAAGTGCACTCATTTCACTGAGATTTCATATCCTTGATCTCTCGTTATGAACAGTTACTAATGCAAATAGAACAAGAACTTGGGACTCAACTTTGGCAGCAACAGCAATGGATGGGGATCATGGTTCGGAAGCAAGGCCGCTGCCGTCGCTGCTGACCCCGCCGCCTCCGGTACTCCAGTCGCCGCCAGCGATGCCTCCGGCATTGTCGGTGCCACTGATGCGTCGTTCGTCCCCGAAGCCTCCACCGGAGACGTTTCCGGTGTTGAGCAATTCACCGGTGCTGGATCCAGCATTGCTATCTCCGCATGGGGATTCCTTGCTGCCGTCTTCGCCATCGCCAACGTCTTGTAGATTGAGTATTAGTATACTTAATCGGTCTCTTCGTTTGTCTGCGCGACTGTTGGGCTTTATTTTTATTTTTATTCATCGTGGCTTGCATGTTTGGTTTGGGGGTTATTTCGATTCGACAGCAACACGTCTCTAAGATTGTGTTTGCATTATATTGGAGATAGGCAGAAGAGGCATTTTTGTGATTTTTAATCTTAATTGAAAAGCAGTTATTGTTGAATTAGTCTGATATCCGTGAATCTACGAGATGACTTTGCGTGATTCGTGGTTTTAGTTACATTGCTTGACTTGTGGGAAGTTCACTGGCTTTACACAACGAGCTTCTAACTTTCATCCCTTGAGTACTGTTCTTTTTGATAGCAAATATATTCGCCACTTCTATGTTCCCATCATCAATTTTCTGTCTTGGGTCAAGTCATGCATGGGATACCATTGTTGAGATAGAACATTCTGTGTTTCCTACTTTAAAATCATCAACTATTTCATCAAATCTGCTTCCAACGCTAGAAACAGGTTTCAATCAACTTTGATCGGTACTCCACTTCCTACTGTAAACTATGGATTCAGAAATTCTCATTGACGACTATGATAAGCGGCATTAGATAAATTTATTCCACTATTACAACTTTTCTGTGGGTGACATGATCCTGTATGGTATTTTAGTTGCGTCGTAGCTTTCACAATGTAGCTAACCAATTTCTCAGACTACGCTTCTTGGCGGAATTGGATGTCCAAGTGATATTACTACATACTCTCCTTGTGCTAATATATACTATGTGGCCAATAAGAATTGTCCCCGCCAGAGTTAGGTTATAATTCAAATGAGAAGAATACCATCTGTGGGATGAGATGATTTATCCAAGATTGGCCTGTGATTCATCAACTTTGACATTGACATAACGCTGGTCGTCTTGCATGTAACTTTACTTCCAAGTTCTGGAGGTGTCGACCGCGAACTCATCAAGATATGTGTAGTTACGCTGAGGTCACTAAAAATTTGTAACTTTAGGCAATCAAAAATAAGATCTTAAAGTGTATGCTAAATAGGTATCAATATATACAAGCCATAATTTAACAGAAGAAAACGTCTAATCGCTGTCCAACACAATGACTTCTGCCTCGGCCTCACCGATGCTTTCAACACCTAGAATGTCTCCTGCCTTGACACCTTCGACAAATACTCCGTCGCCCTCTGAAAGAACAGCTCCTTCTCTACCGTCTAATCTGATTTTTGCGTTACCTCCCTTAGTCATGGGAACGTGGATATAAACTTTTCTGTTCTCGGTACTCTTTGTTGCCCCACCACCAACAGTCCATTTGAATCTCTTGTCTACTCCAATGATTCCAGCAGCCATGACAAAATCGGCATGTATAGGTATAGTATCTGGGAGTGTTGGTTCTGCAGCTTTCTCCTCTTCTGCAGAAGCACCGGGACCAGCTTTCAATGGTGAGAGAATTGGTAAGAACGCTGATCGCTTAGCGTCTTCAGAGAAAGTTTTTGTGTGATATCGTGGAGTTAGTGATCTAGCCCAGGGAAGGGCCCAAATTTGAAGGAAGTGAACCTCCTCCTTGGATTCGTTTTGTTCCGAGTGCGCAATGCCTGCGGGGTATCTAGTTAGCATAAACTCTAATCATTCAAGAAAATTATAAACATACCACTTCCACCAGTTGTAAACTGAACATCTCCCCTCTTCATTCTGTAAAAGTCATCTCCCTCTTTTCCCTCGGCTCCCTTCTTGATCATACTATCTCTGTGAGTCAATTCTCCACTCAGAATATAACTGAAGATCTCGGCATCGCGGTGAGGGTGTGTAGGGAATCCTGTGCCACCAGCGACACGATCTTCATTGAGGACTCGCAAACTTCCAAAGTTTTGGAATTGGCTGTCATAGTAGTTTGCGAAACTAAATGTATGGTAAGAGTTGAGCCATCCGTGATCAGCATGCCCACGAGCGGAGGATCTTCGAGGGGTAATTTTAGCGTGTGAGAGTGCTTTAGACATTGTTGATTTGATAGCAGATGAAGTGCTCATAGAAGACTGAGTTGCAAGTGAGTCTCCTGGTATTTGGGTCGCTGATCTATTGCTTGTGAATATTTGAAAGATCTGTGATAGTGAAGTACTGCTATTGTAAAATAGTATTGAAATTGATGCAATGAAAATAGATGACAAGAGAATGAAGAGCTTCATATATAGACTTCCGGCACGTCTGCTGGAATGTGAGAGATGAAGAAAGATATACTTTACATGAAGATGAGGAAATGATTACTTATTGATTTGATATTTATTTCTTTGATGACTTTTAACTTACTGATAGCCACTGGGCTAGTCGCTGCGGATTGATTTTTGATGCTGATGAAGGTATTGTCAGCAACTTATTCAGCAGACTAACGATGGAAGCGCTAATCGTATCGGGTTAGCCTGCCGAGCACAGTGAATGATATCATCAAACACGTGAATACGCGACTGGTCAAACTCAGGTTCATTGATATCGCGTCTTCCACGAAAGTTAATTCAGTTTGTGAACAAATACTTTACCGTTATCATAATCGCTCAACGCTCTTGATGCGTTTGATTCAAGGCAAGTCACCTGAAAGAGGTCTTGTTCGATTATCTGCTAACAATTGTGATGATTTTGCAGACTCCGAATGTCATAACAGTATTGCTGATCATTCTTGATATCTGTAAAAGAGTTCAACTCGTGATCAACAATGCCTGGAGATCCTGAAATTTGGGAGGTCAGTGATGATTCCTCCACATCGGGAACCGATACGGAGAACGATTCATTTCATTCTTTCGACAGACCTCGCAGTAACTTGAATGCACCTTCTGTGAAAACCCAAGAAGATGCATTTGTGAAATTGAAAACAAATCTCCGGGGTCATTTTGACAATATAGGTATTGGTACTTCATTCTCCCATCAAGGTATCTTTCCGAACGCACCCAATCCAGGAATTTTTCTTCACGGCTATGGTACAATTGGATTCCCACTCACTGAGCATGACTTCGAAAGAATAATGGCAGCAAGCGATTTGAAATCTGGCGAGTCCCCTGGAGATACAATTACTCCTTCTCATGTATATACCATTCCCGGCAACAAGATATCTACGAGAAACCCCGCTTGGACATCAGTGGTTCAATCGATAGTAGAAAAGGCGAAGGTTGGGCTGGGATTGGAGGATAAGAGTGCTCATGCAGAGCTGTGTGCTCTCGTGTATCACTCACCTGGAAGTACAGCAGAGATGATCAAGTAAGTTCTGAGGCCCTAAACTTATTTTGAGGTCCTCACAAGTTTACTGGGTTCTAACAAGCTATAGCTCAGTCCGGATACCATCCAGACACAACTTTGGAATATTAGACATCATTCTACCATCTGCCAGAGGAAGCGAAAAGTTCATTCTTGAACACAATGGGAAGAAAGTCCAATTTCAGAACAACGGATGTTCCGAATGGGACTGCTCATTTCTTTCATGGTTTATGATACCCTTCTTGCATTGCCAGTAATTCAAACTAACCAATCTAAAGTTCACAGATGTATCGGTGAAGATTACACCATTATCCTCAGACCATCGCCTTATCCTCAGGTATGATCTTCAGCATACCCTACCAGGAGAGACTAGTAAGTGGAACCAAATTATTTGATGTCCCTTTCCAAGCTCTCATTTGCTTTCATGTTTTCAATATCGTACTCCTACTTAAAACAAGATAAATAATCAGACCAGGAGTCCAATCATCTTCTGACGTACCACATCTTAGGCTCTGCTACAGCTTTAGAAACTTCATTATCTAATCTACAGAACATGTTGGAACCCTGGACAGAAGACGGCATGTTAGTTCCAGGAAACGTACTGGGATATGTGCTTTCAGAAGCCGACCAATCTGATATTTCCCTTCACAAGCTCCACGGAAAGGATCGTCTTATTGTCCATCAGCTCAAGGAAGTTTGCGCAAGAAGCAATTTTGAGCTCTACTTGGCAACGCTACAGAAAGAAGCCAGTGGCCCAACTGAATCTTCTGGACATGACTATTATGGTTATGATGAATCAGTCGACGAAAGTCACGTCATGGTGGAAGTTGAGGAGGAATCATTACATCTCACCAAGCTTGTGAATCTCGACGGTGAGGCGCTACGTGCAGACTGTGGACTTTTTGATGAAAAAAACCTCATCAATGATGACGATCCTTTTGACGGTGCCTGCACAGATTCAGAGAACTACGACGATGAATACATGACAAAATATTACGGTGCTCCTGTAAGTTCATTTGCTAATAATTATAGACAGTCAGACGGCTGACAGTGCAAAGATGGTAGTCCTCATACCTCGAGCTTCTCGATTCCGTTTCATATTAGGCGAATTAGGTAAATGGGACAGTGACAGAAACGAATGTGTCCTCAAGTATATGGCAGATTTGGGGGAAATCGCTTCCGAATCTTCTGCCGCTGACCGGGAAGAAACGAAAAAAGTATGCGAAATGGTACTTGCGAAAAGCGAAAGCTGTTGGCCGACTAATGTCCTGTCGGGATTCTCGCATAGGGTATATCTCTTGGTAATCAGCTCGATAATAGACCTTGATGACAAAGTTCTTCTTGAACGCACGTTACCAACTTGCTTCTCAGGTCCTGAATATCAGCCGTTACTAGCTAAATTGAGGGAGAGAAAGGGGCATCTATGGATACTGGCTAGGTATGTTTCAACCAGAAGTGCTAATATTGACTCGCTGATGGTAGTATTGGAGCCGAATCATATATTTCTACGATCACAACTCTCGATAATCGGTGCAAAGCGATTGAAAATCTATCTCAATATCAAGTGGAGACTGATTGGTCTTCCAAGCAATATGAACTAGCATTATCGACATGTGCGCAATATCTGAGTGTATCCGATGTGACACAATTGATTCAACTAGCAAGAGTATTGTCTGAGAAACAGATCATTGAAGTGTATGCTCGTTATGATTCTTTATCGAGGAACTCCACTAATTGAAGTCAGTTTTCTCCCAGCCATCGGACCGTGTCTGAATAAGCAACAAATGCTGTGCTCAATCTTGACGCATATCTCAAGAAGTCTTTCATTAAGCGAGCGCACACCGCAGCCACTCGATCTAGTGTTTAAAGAAATATTATCAACTAATATTGGTAGATTGGACATATTGAATCTCAGAGACTGGCCGGACGACATTCCCTCAGCAGAAGGCGAGGCTGGCTACCATGCCAGCTACCCGCTAGTTAGAACGTGGCAACAGCGGAAGTACCGGAGTACAGCCCTCGTTGTTTGTCGGGCTTACCAAAAAGAGATGTTCCTCGAGCTCGAGCATCTCTTCAGAGGACTTTGCGACCAAGCTCAATCTGTGAAATGGGCATCTTTTAATGATACATTCATGCCATTCCTCGAAGCTCTGGCTAATTCCATACGCAATGTTATCCCAACCGCATTCAAGGCGCCATTATTCAAGCAATTGTTTCAGACCATTGTCAGCTCGTATTTCATACGTTATCATGCAGAAAAACCTGTCAAGCCCGTAAGATGGACTCGCGACATTCGAGGATGCAACTCGAACTGCCCAGACTGCAAATTACTAGATGAAGTTTTATTAGACCCTACTAGACAAAAGTACGTGTTCTATTTAAACGAACAAAGAAGACAGCATTTGGAAACACGACTTTCCTCAGATGTCCAGAATGGGCTCATCAAGACTTCTATTGTTAAAGATCGTAGCCCGCATGGTTTGGTGATGGAAAAGACTCGCGATGTTTTTGCCCACAAATTACGCACTTGGTCCCTGGCAGCAAAAGAATCAATGCTACGTATCGAAATGCTGGGTGGAGACGTAATAGAAATCTTGTCAGAGGAGCATTACGAAACGCCATTATCCGGTATGTCAAAAGCATCCGATGTTAATATTCAGCAGGCCAAGAATGACATTGCTAAAATCACATCTAAACACCGAGCCACCTTAGAAGTCCAAAAGTCTTCTTCATCCGAGAATCTGACTTCCTCCAGCGGTAATACGATTAGTGGTATTGGCATGGGCGAGAAGAGAGGCTTCTCTTCAGATGTTTCCGCCACCAGTGGAAATCCTGTATCTGATGGAACACAAGCAAAGCGACTTCCAACATGGAATCAATGGCGAGAGCCCACCAAGTAATGCCTTTGCCGTTCGGTTATAAATGTTGTTGGCATCAAGATTGTTCTTTTGGAAAAATTTCAGCCTCTCATATTTTCTACGATAATCGAAGGGATATTGGCATGTATTGTTGTTCTGCGAGAGATACTTAGGGTAGCTAGGATTGCTGGGGAAAGAACTGATGTGTATAACTATGTAGCAACCAATCATCGATGTTATAAAAACCTCATTATCAAAAATTATTGTGCCGTCTGATGTGAAAAATGGTGCACTTTGTATGTACACCTATGACATAGCAATGAAAATCCGAATTTTGGCAATGAAACAATTCCTCAGACAGATTTAGCTGACTGAAAAAGCGAACTTTTGTCTCAAGTTTCAACTTCCCCACACCTATAGTTTCGACTCGTTCTTGCCCCATACAGGCATATCCAATTCTGTTGTGCAAAGAATGAAAGTATCCTTCAAACTTCCCACCCTATGTCTGTGATTTACTTCCTGATAATCTTCACTGGCCAACATATCTGCAAAATGTTCAATACTCGGGTAATGTGCTACCGCAACCTCGTCCCATTCGCCTCTTTCTTCTGAGTCTCCCTCATGTATCACAGTCCCCATTATTTTGGCAATACCACCTCGTTTCGAACCAATGGACTTTGCAAATTCGGCTCCATATTTCAAATATTCCTCTTTGAGTCCAGGTTTGAATGCAAGGAGATTGAGCATAGAAACTGCACCTCGCCCTTCTTGGTTTCTATAGGTTTTGATCCATTCCAGTAATGGAGGAGAAAGCTCGAGGGATTGAGCTGAAGCTTTTGCGTGATAGTTGTTTAAGCTTCCTGTTAGAGGCGGTGTGTCTTCCGGTCGTGGATCGAGCAGTCTTCTATTCTTCGACGCAAAATCATGGAGTAATCGTGAAGGTATTCCTGCTGTCACCTGCCATTGATGAAGGATAAGCTTTTGTAGTGAGGCTGGAAGAATGTCTGTATTGGGCAAGATCATCAGAATATCCCAATGGATATTACGTGCGATAAGTGGGTCGATCGATATCGATGTTGGAAGGACGATCCAACGAACAACCCTACCAATTGTGAGTGGGGTGAGAGAAGTCGTTGAAAGGGCTGAGAGGAAATCGGGAATGGTGACGGAGAGAGAAAGCAGATGAATTGTGCAGGCTGGCATGCTTGCTGTGTTGTATGGGTAGAGTAAATGTGGTATGTGCCACCACTTTGGATTATATACCTCGAATGGTATGTATGAGAGGACAATGATATAGTGAAGGAGATTGAAGGCAATGAAGGGAGATGTTGATGTTAGAATGATAATGCGTCGTGGAATTCATCACAACAAGCTCAATCCAACGGTACGATGCCCCTCACTAGATAAGGCCTACAATTGGAACCGAGGCACAGACAGCCCCTTCATTTTTTAGCCGTTCTTTCCCCAGCCCTTCACGCAATTCAATCAAGCGTCAGAATCAGCCCATTGAGTCTGAAAGCTTAAGGAATTCTTTTCTCAATCACATTCCGGTATGGCTTCACGAAAATTGAGATGATGGACAATCAATGGACCAAAAGTAGTCGATGTCTGTGTGTAAAGTATATCAGTATCTCATGATGGAATAAGTTTCCGCAATGTTGTTCTCACATGCATCCAAGGCTACTAGGACAAGCATCGATGGAGCTAATCACGGTTATCACTAGGTCAACGAATAGGAAAACTTCCCTCCATGTCAATAATGTTCATGGCTGGTCTGGAACTCGTGTTTATCGCCAAAACGGGGCTGGATACTGGGTCACACTAATGTTTTCATGGAGATGTTTTGTATCACCTACGGTTCGATACACACGAAGATTACATCTGAACGACAGTATACCTCAATTGAAACCTGACTGACAAGAGGGCTGGCTTAAGGAGAATCAGTGCTGAGCTGCACAGCTCTCCACTCTCAATTGGAAATTCTTACTGGCGACAATAATGTGATTAACAACAACAAGTAGAATAGCCTCCGCCAGCATTTTTATTCTTCAACCTTCATTTTCGGATTCAGATTCGGATTCAGACTCAGATCCAGCATGAAACCCGATTCATCGCCTGTCCTTTGGACATTGATAAGTCTCACAACTATCGCAAATTCGCAGACCTTACCATATAATCCTACCACGATACTTCTTCCACCGAGCGCGAGCCAGAGGAACGACACTGCATTTATCTTCCTCGTCACCTCTGAATCAGACACTCGACCCGAGTTTTTATCTCTAAATATATCTTCAACCTTATTCGCTTCGAATCTCACATTAGAACCCTTCACACCTAATCTTTCGTTTCTCGACAACAATACTGCTTTTATACCTACGATTGGGACGAACGGCGAAATTTCATTGCTTACTGGTTCTTGTTCAGAATCTGCCAGCACTGAGTTATGGACTTATACACCTGGAAATGAGGCTGTCGGGAATGGGACATGGGCGAAAGAGACAACTGTTGTGGCCAGCGATGTCTCCTCTGCTGGTCGCGCAGGCGCGCAATTTTTGTCGGGTGGATTCCAGTTCTCTACATTAGTCAATGCAAATGCTTCATATACGGATATCTATATCTATGGTGGCATGTGTCCCAGTTCCTCGGCGAATGTATCGACATGGCAATCGAACGCCAACTATACGAACCATATGATGCGAATATCACCTGGATCGACAGATTCGTACAGTTTGGATTTAACTGCTAATAGAGGAGCACCTGTTGCTGAGGCGGGATTTACTATTACGCCTCTACTTCCTGCGTATTCGAATGCGTCGGGGATTATGACACAAACTCAGAATTTTATACTTCTTGGTGGACATACACAAGGCGCATTTATAAACATGAGCCAAGTTGCTATTTGGAGTCTTCCCGTGGAGAGTTGGAGTTTTGTCACAGTCAGCCCACCATCCTCAACAGAGAGTTCCAATACAGAATTGACAGTAAAAAGTTCAGTAACCAGTGTCGATAGCCGTTCAGGGCACACGGCAATATTGACAGAAGATGGATCTAAAGTCATTGTTTTGGGCGGATGGGTTGGTAGCGTTAATCAAGCTGCCGATCCACAATTTGCTATATTAGAACTTGGGACGGGCTATGGAGGAACTGGTCGATGGAAATGGTCGGTACCTGCGGATCAGCCATTTGGAGACGGTATTTATGGGCACGGTGCAACAATGCTTCCTGGAAACGTTATGATGGTACTGGGTGGATTTAATATAACAGCCACGAACAATATGAAGAGAGCTGTTGACACAACTGTCCAACCCATGTTTTTCAATGCTACGAGCTCCACTTGGATTTCGAACTACACCAATCCAGCATATGTTGCGGCTAATGCTCGAAGCAGTTCTTCTTCGTCCTCGGGTTCCTCAAAAGTCAGCCTTGGCGTAGGACTCGGATTAGGTATCGCTGCGTTCATTGCTATCGTTGCAGGACTTAGTTGGTGTTTGATTCGCTGCAGAAGGAAACGCAGAGATTCGAGACGCGAGGGTAAGGAAAAAGACCTCAGGTCTCTTGGCTACAACGCAGCCACTGCATACTTAGGCCCACAAGAGATGTATCAAACTCATAATTATTCTGATCGCCAAAAACATTATTATGACTCGGGAAACGCAGCGGGGGGGTATGAAAGTTTGTATACTGGCGAATATGGCGCGGGAGAGATTGGCTCTCCCACACTTCAACCTCGGCAAATACCCAGGAAAGCTGTACGAAACAATCGAGGTCTGTACCAGCCCGCTTCGACCTTCGACCCTGGTGCAGTAGCTGGGAATGCTAGGGCAGCCAATATTGGTGCAGCTGGGCCGATACATCCAATATACGAAGCAGACGAGGACGCTGATATAATTTCCCCTATTGAAATAGGTATTGCTCTTCCATTCGAAGAAAGCGACGCTTACTTTGGTGCGAAGCGACGATCGGATCCTTTCAAAGATCCAGTCACTCAAAATTATTCAGTACCTGTACAATCCAACAGCCAAAATGTCGCCATGCCTGTCTCGGAATCCCCGGCGCAAGAACGAGAACGTGAGATCGAAGCATGGGTTGCAGACTGGGCGGCTGCTGATGCCCTCCTTCATGCTCAGGCCAGATCTCATTCAACTGTTGGGAGAAGTTCTCCTTCTCGACGGGCAAACTTAATTACAGCAACTGGTCCAGCCTCTGTTTCGGGGGAACTTTCTGAAGATAATGCTCGAACAGCCAGTAACCTTAGCGAGCAAAGTATGGCCCACACCGCTGTTACTTTAAGTCGATCAGGATCCAGTTCCCTGGGAACAAGATCAAATTCACTCCGAGGCTATCTAACATACGCAATGAATACCATTAGTCTAGGCAATGCTACTCTGAGTCCGATGCCCGACAGTCCTGTCGCACAAAATGCTCAGATTTGCCCTCCTGGGAGTTCCGGTAGCGAAAATACAGGTTCAACTTACACCACCGCCCATACACACTCTAGCTTTCCCACCCTGCAGGCAGAAGCAGCAATGCTACTCCCTCGTCCAGAGCAGTTCGCTGACCGGGGGCTTCCGTCCCCTACTGAGTCCTCTTTCAAATCGTCACCGCACACACCCACTAGGACGACACATGATTACATTGGCAGTCCATCAAAAAACAAGCCCATAGGCCTTGGTAGACGTGGGTGGCTGGGAAGTCTACGCAAAGCTTTTAGACCCGAAGGTGATAATGCGGAAACTAGTCTTACAGATCGAGAGCCACTTCCTCTTCCAATTGGTGTCGATAACTCGCCAAGAAGAACGGTGAGTGCTGGTGCGGCTTTATGGAGGAGGAAACAGGGTAGAGGGGACTGGGAGGATAGTGAGAAGATTGGTGCCAAGCGTGGGAGATCCAATTCATTTGTTAATGGCGGCCGGTCAAGTGTACAGATTTCAGGGACTAGTGAGGCTAGAGGGCTTGTAAATGGGATCGATGAAGATGAAGAAGAATGGGATATTGAAAGAGCGATTGAGGATCGGGTGGTACAAGTCATGTTTACCGTGCCTAAAGAGAGATTGCGCGTCGTCAATCATGATGTTCGTGAAGATTTGAGCGAGGGAGGGAGTATGAGAGGAAGAAACATAGGAGCTAGTGGAAGCGGAACTCTAAGTCGAACCCCTAGTGAAATCTTGAGTATCGAAGATGGCAATAAATTAGCCAAAACGGAAAGCGCAGAGAGCGGGAGGAGCAAGGGTCGGGTGAAAGGCAAAGGAAAAGTGTCGGAGTTGGTTGAAATGCTCGAGGGTCGTAGTAGTCCTGAGCGTCAGTGAGTTTGTATTTGTATTTTTCGGGTATGATGTGTACGATTGATGTTCTTATGCGACTTGGGGCATGATTAAGACCCTCTTTTGATTTTTTAGCGGCATTGGGTATGAGAGGTGGCTGGGTTCTGTCCGCTTTTGGGTACTAGAAATGCGTTTCTCCTGGGATCATTTGTGCTTAAGTTGAAGACTACATACCCGTTGGACAAGATTCTACTTTTGAGGTGCATGATTGAGATTTTCTATCTGTCAGTCACTACTAATATATTGTTTTTATGTATGTACTTAAATCTATGACATATGGAATTTAAAATATGTATTTAGATTCACTTCAGGTCTACAAACATGATTGTAAAATCTTACATTATTCAAGAATCCCAAGGAGGCTGAACTTTTAAAATCCAACAGTTTGAGGTAAATTGGATAGTATTCTTAACGTTATAACGAGTTCTAGTGGAACCAGTTTGATATCATTGAACTTTCAAGCTCCTTGTGGCTTCCGAGGTCCAACGTCAAGATGCCATACAAGTCTGATTTGTGAGTAAAATGATTCACATGTGATTCTCATGGGGCCTTGGAAGCAATCAATAGTGAATTTCTATATGGAGATGAGGCTCTGAAGTCAAAGAGTTTGATATTTTCATCTTGTCATTCACTTAACGAGAATTCTTAAGAGGGTAAGAACTTGGAATTTATATCACACACATATTATTTCCCTGTTTTCTACTGTGGAATATGGTGTAACAACAGAACGATGTGGCTAACAAGTTCCGAATTCTGTGCAAATAACCATACTAACCTGTAGTTTGAGGCTTTTGATATCATGACGGTGAACCAGATTGGCAATATTCTACCACAATTTCCCATTCACCTTCTTGATAGGCCAATATATGAGCCATAACCTCAATATCATTCACCTTTCGCCTAGCGTCATATTGTACCGTACCATCACAAACTTTTTGTTTATAAACTTCCAGAAGTTCCCCCATCTGTCTTCCTTCTTTCTTTCAAAAACAACTTCAGAACTCCAAACGAAAAATCAAATTTACAATAACATCACTTTCGTTTATCAACCACTACAAATACATAACCTTTCTATTCAAGGAACATCCCTCAAAAGTAGTCATTATGTCTATCATCCAGAAATTCACCATGTTCGCGCTTTTCTTTGTCGCACTTGTTCTCCCTGTCAGCGGCGCTGGTCAAGTTGTTCGTGATGTTGCATGGGCTACTGAGTCAACTTCTTGTAGTATGGCTCTTTAATATTAATGTTATAGTCTTAACGATCGAAATACTGACAACATATTTTTATAGCCACTGGACCTATCGAGACACTCGTCCCCATCGTCCTCTCATCCTCTGCTCCAGCGTCCGAGACGACTGCTTACACTTCCTCTGCTCCTGTCGAAACTCTCGTCCCAACCGTTGTTCAATCCTCTCCATACCCTCCTTCGATTTCCGACACCACTGCTTACACCTCGTCTGCTCCCACCGACACCCTCGTCCCAGTCGTCGTCACCTCGGTTCCAGTCACCAACACTCTTACCAGCACTCAAACAACCAGCTCCCTTGAAATCCTCTCTCCAATCCCCAGCACTTCTGCTTCCGGTCACCCTTCAGTTTCCCCTAGCGTCGTAACTGGCACATACGCCAACTCCACCTCCATCGTTCCATCCACCACTCTCACCAGCACCACTGCTTCTATCACCACCAAGACTTCGGCTACGAGCTCTGGACCAGCTAGCAGCACTAGCACCACTGTTGTTCACACCGGTGGAGCCATGGAGGCCAACACCCTTTCAGGTGGCTTGCTCGCTGCTGCCTTTGCAGCCGCTTATTTCATCTAAAGCAACAATGCTATGCCATAGGTTGCGATTGGGGAGGATATTTCATTTACCTGTTTGGTGGAGGAATTGACATCATTCGGAACATTGGGAAGCAATTTTCTTTTGCATTGTATTAAGGGATGGCGTGCATTGTGCGTCGATCAGGAAAGGAATGTTCTTATGAGAACAATGTGTATAATAAATAGAGTAGATACAAATGGTATCCTTATGATACACATTTGTTTCTAGATCTATCTCGCACATTAGTTCTCTGAAAATAAACAACTTTGTTTACTTGACATGATCCATATCAATTGCATACGTAAAGTGAAGGTCAAACCTGAAATCTATCTTACCCTACTGTTAAGAACTACTACACACAAAATCTCGAGTGCTTTACTGCAGAACTTGATTGCTTTGAAGTTCTCTTGCCTCCTCTTACAGCCGTTCCCACAACTACAACCATGTCAATCACGATTCAACTAATTTAGTACCTGCATATGAGCGGCAACGCCCTAAAAGGCAGGTGTTAAGTAGCCACATCTTCAACCGCTGTCTACCCCACGTTTAACCACACACCAATAACAATTTCTCCATCCCATCCCATCCCCTCTCACCAACAAACAATCATCAACATCAAACTCATCAAACTTCACATTCCCAGATTCTCCACACTTCCGCATTCTTCCCGTCACTCTCACAGTATCTTTCAAACCTCAACGTAGGACGCGGACTCACTCTCGGTCCGTTCGTTCTCCCACAACTCAAAAGCACTCCGGAGATAGAGCTCTATTCGTGATCTTCTCCGAGGCGGCAATTCTCTCCCTGGAAGTGCGGGGTGCGAGTGCTGAGAAGGACCGAATGTTGGGTTTTTGCGGGGGTGGGGGATATCATGTGTACGGGGGTGTTTTTTTCTTCGATACATGTTCTTTGATGGAGAGACGGGATGGTGAAGGACCGATTAGCTGCTTGCGCGGCTGGGTTGGTGGGATGTTAGTGATGATTGAGGAGCGAGATGGATAGGGGTTTTTTAACTCGGGCTCTGGTGTGGACTATTATGTGCAGGTTCTGCCGTCTTGGCGGCTGGGACTATTGTCTGTCTAAGAGGAAGATGTTGGGAATGGGATAGATGTCGTTTGGTGAGAATGGATGAGAGGTTCTTGAGAGTTTTCCTCAGGATTTGCGTTTGATACTTAAGAATATACTGTTTGTTGTCTTCATTCTTGTCTGGTAGCTTCACGCCGCTTTCATAGCAATGGAGAGACTTCCATGCTTTCCATATTGATAATCGGGGCATCTAAGAATCTAGCTGTAGAGCTATACTTAAAAGTGTCATGGTGGCGTGTAAACCACTTGCATATGGTCCATCTTCAATAATGCTTTTCACATACTGTAGAGTTCAGATATTACCGGCTTGGCGTAATATAATCCTCCTGGTTTTTCATCATCATCAATTTAACCTAGGCTCCGGATCTTACAGTAGCTATTTTCTAGGTTTGAATCGAAAGTTCTTGCACTGTGTATAGATTTATAGCTTGTATTGAGCCTTTGCCAAGCTTGAACTCAGAACTATAAAGAAGTGCCAAAATCCTTATGGCCTTTGAATGAACAAGTTTATCTTCTTTCTCCCCTTCCAAGTGTCCTGTATAGAAAATACATCGAAGGATATACTATACGACAATGTCAAGATCTTTCAGCATTCTATATGTGTTAGCAGCAGCCAACTTGGCGTCTCTAGCAGATAGTCATGGATATATGAACATACCCTCTAGTCGAACAAGCATCGGCCATTCAGTAAGATTCCAACATCCCATCTCCATTCCGCACTAACAATCAAAGGTCGGCATCGACACATGTCCCGAATGTACTATTCTCGAGCCCGTCACCTCATGGCCCGATCTCGACTCTGCTCCAGTTGGACGCAGCGGTCCTTGCGGCTACAACGCTCGCGTCAGCGTAGACTACAACTACCCCTCCACAAACTGGGGCAATACTCCCGTCACCACCTACACAGCTGGTCAAACCGTCGATGTGCAATGGTGCGTCGACAACAACGGAGACCACGGCGGCATGTTCAGCTGGCGCATCTGTCAAGACCAATCTATCGTGAACAAACTCATCACTCCGGGATACATCCCCACGGATATCGAAAAACAAGCCGCGGAAGATTGTTTCGACGCCGGTTTGCTCCCCTGTACAGATGTCACCGGCGCCACCTGCGACTACAACGCCGATTGCACATCCGGTCAAGCATGCTGGCGCAACGACTGGTTTACCTGCAAGGGGTTCAACAGCGGAACACGATGTCAAGGCGTAGATAACTCCGCGCTCGGCTCCTGCTATACTTCCATCGCAGGCGGATATACAGTGACCAAGAAAGTGAAGATTCCAAACTATGCATCGAATCACACACTCATATCTCTGAAATGGAATTCCTTCCAAACGGGACAGATCTATCTGACCTGTGCCGATATCGCGATTGTTGGTTCTGGGAGCGGTGGTGGTGGCTCTTCCAGTACCACGAGCAAAACATCTTCTATCTCCACTACCCTTAGCACTTCCACCAAATCTACCACCAGCACCAGCACCACCACATCCTGCACCTCCACCCCCTCACTAATCCCCATAACCTTCAACACTCTCGTCACCACGACCTACGGGCAAACCATCAAAGTAGCCGGCTCCATCGCCGCCCTCGGAAACTGGGATGTATCTGCCGCTCTCGCCTTATCAGCAGTCAACTACACGAGTGCGAATCCATTGTGGACGGGAACCGTCTTGTTGCCTCCGGGTCAGGTGGTGCAGTATAAGTATGTGAATGTGGCGAGTGGGGGGACGGCGACGTGGGAAAGTGATCCGAATCGCGTTTTTACGGTGCCGGCGGGTTGTGCGACGAAGGGGACGGTGGGGGATACTTGGAGATAGAGGAAGGGAGGGAGAGAGAGGGAGTGCTGGGTTGAGATTGGGGGTGGATCTCGTTAGTAGGTGTGCAATGCGGATGCCGAGACACTGTTATCTCACTTGACTGCAAAAAATTCGGACTCTGTTCAGTTTAGTTTTATGGATAAGTATCTGATTTCCTACCAACCATTCAAGAATCAGAGCTTTTCAACAGAAAGCAAACACATGCAGATATATATCTTTCCATGACATTAGCTAGGTACACAGGATCTCAAACTCTGCATATCTAAAACCGCTCTTATACAAACAATTCAACACCACATCCTAAGTTCTAGGGCTTCTCAAAAATCCCACCACACCTCCACACCAACCGACCAAATCTCCCAATCTCGCACCTTCATTCTCCTGTTGTGTTTTCCATTCCATGACTGCATTTCTCAATTCCTCGCTACTTGCTACTTCCTCGTTGTGTAATTTTAAGAATACAGCCATCCATGCTTGAACTAATTCGTAATCTCTCTTTTGTGAGAGACGTGAAGTAAGTGCGTGGATAAAGTGGATTAATTCGTTGGAAGTAGGAGAGAGAGAGCGGATTTCGAGATCAGCGGCGGATGGAGAGAGAGTTTTGAGATGATCTATGAATGGTGTGTCTGTGACGTGTTAGTATAATGATAGGTAAACGAGAGGGCAGGAGGGATTTTGGAACTTACAATCACCTGACTCGCCGCCGGATCGGAGTGTCACTGTAAAGGAGCGTTCCGAGGCAACGCGGTCGAGTTTCATGATGCGTGATCTTTCGGCAGCGCTATCGATTGATTTTTCTTCTTGAGATGATGGGCCTGCCGCGGAGTCGATTGATGGAAGGAAGAAAGGTGCCTTTTCTGGTAGTTTTGGTGCTTCTGTGGGCTTGTTACGGGCTTTGATAAGATCTAGATGAATCAGAGTCTGCCATCTACTCTTTGGAACCACACTGAGAGTCATCATGTCTTTGCTTAGTTGATCCAGCGATAAAGCAGGTGCGGCATCTTCAGCAGTCTCATTCTCATCTTGGAATGCGCCATCAATGACGTTATGACCACCTTCACCAGAAACGGTAGGTGCTGTGATAGAAGCAATTTCTTTCTCGGAAATATGTCGAGTAGGAACATGTGCGAAAAGAGTTTTGTTGTTCCAGAGATTGACTCCAACTTGTCCCGCGCATGTTGTGGCTAGGAACTCTCCTGTTCCAGAAAAGGCGAGTGCAGTGCATTGAGTTTCCATTCGCATTGCATCAATTAAGTGCCCAGTTGGAAGATCCCAAACTCGAACCACGCAGTCTTTCGAGGCTGCAATGACCCATCGTCCATCATTGGAAAAGCACATATCATTGATACCCCCTTGACACCCCCATAATTCTCTAATGGTCTTTTTGGTCTCGATGTCAACGATTCGAATAGACAAATCATCACACGAGACAGCAATGAGATCATTCGGTGCATGGTATCTCATTCCTGTGATAGATACCATTGGGAACCAATCAATTTCATCGACAAGGTTACCAGTTCCGAATTCCCAGAATTTAATCTTGCCATCGAGAGAGCAACTGATGATATTGCGGTTCAATGAATCAACAACCACACCAGTTACAGCTTTCCTGTGTTTACCAAGTCCAGGCTGGAAGTTCTTTACCGTCTCGGAAGATATCTCCTTGCCACTCTCAGCAGCCTGTAGTTGCTGGATTTTTAACTTTCTTGCTTGCGCTGGTGTCAGTTTTGAGGGGTATCGTTGTCGGTGAAGACCAGATTGAAGGTTAAACATATCAAGTCCACCAGTTTCCGATCCAACAACCGCAAAGGTGCCACATGGACTGATAGCAACGCTTCGGACATTTCCACCATCACCAGTCTCAAATACCCATCGTCCCGCCTTCTTCCTTCCCCAAAACCACGTTCGGGCGAATTTGTCATCTTTGTGACCAGTGACCACGCTTTCCCATCCCGTGACCCCGCTTGCTGTCGCATCTGTACCCTTCTTTTGCAGATGGCCCTTCTGCCAAATCGCTCCGGTTCCAGGATGTGCGCCCATTCCACCATCTCGATTTAATGACGATGCCAGGCATACAATCTCCGGTGCTTTAAGATCCTCAAGGGTCGTGCTAGGCTCATTTGCCAGCGTAGATTGGGCTAGGATACCCATTTTCTTCGCCTTCTTTCGTATATTTCCTTGACTCAATTCTGTGCTTTGTCCATCTTTTCGAAGACTCCATCCCCACAAGCTTCGATCTTTACCAGCACTTAACAACCATTTTCCACCTGCATCCGCACCATCTGCATCAGTAGGTAAAAATTGAAGGTGTGTCACTGGCGCAGCGTGCCCACTGCGCGAGTGCAAAATTCGTGGTATCGGGGAGTAGGGCGATTCATCGAAGATCCAAGATTTCAAAGAGTTATCCAAACCGCTGGTAACTAGGACAGGCTGTCCAGAGAGGAATTCAGCCTTGCTCAATCCTCCACTGACTGTCGCGCCAGAGTCGGAAGGTGGATTATGGGCACCTCGAAGAACACCCATAACTCTACCACCTCCATTAAGATCCCAGAATGTCACATCGCCATTGTCGGGTCCTGCAGTAGCCATAACACCGGGCTTTTTACCATCCTCCCCAGCTCCAAGATCATCTGTCCGGAAAGATATTGAAGTGATAGTGGACTCAGAGCCGCCATTGAGATGGATGACTGTCTTATCTGTTCGTACATTATGAATTATTAGAGGACCTTCGGAGTATGCGATCGCCAGAAGAGATAATGCTGGTGTGGGTTGTAGAGCGGTTACAGCTCCACAGTTTGGACCTGGTGGTAATAGGGTGTAGATCAGTTTCCCGGAGCTGACGTTCCATATCTCAACTCCACCATCTTTTCTTCCGGCGAATATTTTATTTAGATATGTTGGCATATTACAGATTCCCCCAGTAATCTCGTTTCCACCTTTCTGCGCCGCGGTAGTGTGCAAAGTCGTATAATGTTCGTATGTCGAGGTTTTCCAGACTTCTATCCTGGTTGAACAGCATCCTACTATCCAGGTGCCAAAGACCAAAATCTGTTTGATGGGCTCCTTTAAATCTGCTGGGAGTGGTATTTCCTCAATCCTCTTTCCTCTCTTGAATACACATAGACCCTGGTTACCATCTTCGTCCTGGCCTCCCCATGCTGCGAAGACCTTATCCTTCCATGCTATTGTAGCGGTTATATCTGCTGGTGTTTGTGGTCTGGTTAGGAAGACTAGGTTAAGTCCCCTCTTGAGGTCGTACGTTTGTAAACATCTCCCGACGGAGGTTGTGATTTGAAATGTGGTTTTGCCGAGTGGGATCGAAGTGAAGGGAACGGCAGTTGAAGATACTAGACCAATTGTCTTATTATAGAGGTCAGCAATATGGTCAATTGGGAGAAATGGTAGGACCAACACGAAATGGAGTAAAGATTCTTGATTCTCTCAAAGTTTTCTTCGGCGCATCAGTAACGTCCAATTTTTGTCTTTTTACAATTGGACCATCCTGAACATTGGTAGCGACCGATGAAGGCATCTTAGCAAGTTAAAACACTATTTCCTATATCAAATGCGCTTGCTTGTTGTTTGCGCCGCTGTCCTTGATAGTAACCAATATGATCAAAAAAATCAATATTTCTGTAGGGAACTTTTTTTTTTCTTTTACTATGTAATCAATTAATCCTTGTACCTCTCTTTACTAGGCTCATAGACATGAGTGAGGCGTGGGGAAGAGCCGGGCCCCAGCTATCACTGGAAACCGCCTTATCGTAGAGGTAAGACAGCGATTGTTATTATTATTACTGTCAGCCACTGGCTTATCTACATCTGTACTCACTCCCTCCTTCACTCTTCACTCCCTCCTTCACTCACAACATAACATGACATCTATACATCACTTCCCCAATATATGAGTAAATGCCATCCTCTCCTCTCCTGTCAGTACCTACCTACCTGCCCACCTAGGTAGATATCCAACTCCCGCCTCACATATCTTTGTCAATGCTATCTAATCGATACCATCTCATTCGTCGTCTTATCCGTTGAAATTCCTTTTTCTTGCCGCATTAATCGTCATCTGCCACGATAAGACTGAGTAACCTGGAAAATGAAAATATATCCTTCTCTCCCTACCATTCACTTAAACTGCCAGCATTCAATGTTGGTAGATCCACAGTAGTATAGGCCATGCTTTGTTTGCTTTCTTATGTCACAGTCCTGGTTTCAATTTCCAATTCACGTCCTTCCAGAGTTTGACAGTAGTTTTCAAACTACATACCTAACCCAATATATGCATACCTCAGATACCCGTGGACCTACTGATAACAATTTCCCACAATCATGGCACAAGAAGGTGAGAGCGCAGTGATGGAAACTAATGATCCTAGTACCGATAAACAGGCGGTCGGATTTTCAACATTCAAAAAATCCAATGCTTCCAGCCAAGAAGTACAATCAACAAAGGACTTGAGCCCGAAATCTAAAGTGAGAAGGACTTCGCTCAGCTTATCGTCCGGCAGTGCCATTCTTGCGTCATTGAGCAGGAAAGGGAGGCACGCAGAACCATTGATGCACACAGAACTCAATTCCGAACGAGCAAGTATTTCCATGCCACCACCTCCTACAAGAACACTATCAAAGTCTAGAACATCTTCTACGTACAGCCAAAGATCGCCGGCTGCATTGGCAGTTTTGCAAGAAAGCTTAAATTTAGAAGGGGCAGGAACTAGTTATCAAGATTTTGCTGTTGAGGAATCTGAACCCCTAAAGACGAAGCATCTACCAATGCCAGAGGACAAAAACCTCAAAACAAATTCAACAATGGCAGACGATAACAAGAGTGTGCCTGCACCACTTCCCGAGCCTACTCTTCGACCCCGAGCATCGGTTACGGAGATGGATGGAAAACGAATGTCAGTATCCTCAATGTACTCTTTAGCATCAGCCAGAGCAGGTGGTGTAATAAGTTCTGCAGCATCTGCAACTGGTTCTGAGAATGGAGGAAGTACAAGAATAACTACAGCACCAGTCTCAGCATCGGTCTCGTCAGTGAAGGGGCTTGGTGTATCTCCGCCAGAGACTTCGAATATATCTGTTACAACTACTTCTGGTGGACCAAACGCACCAAATGGGCATCAACTTACAGCGAGAGAACCACCAGCTCAAGCTGCAGAGATAGCAAAACGAAATTCTGTTGCCAGAGGCGAGGCTCAACCACGGCCTCAGCCCCCACAAAGATCCAGGAGTCGAGCCAAGAGACGTTTCAGTGGTAGCACCGGCGCCAGCAGCCACAGCCCCAGCAGTGAGAGAGGCCTACATCTGAAAAAAGAAGATGAGAATAGACCAGCACCTTGGGGCGTTATAGGAGTATGTGCCCTTGACATAAAAGCAAGAAGCAAACCTAGTCGAAACATCCTCAATCGCTTGATTTCAAAAGGCGAATTTGAGGTTGTCATCTTTGGGGATAAAGTTATTTTGGATGAGGAGGTCGAGAATTGGCCAATCTGTGATTTCCTGATTTCCTTTTACTCAGATGGGTTTCCACTCGACAAAGCCATTGCATATGTGCAGGCACGAAAACCATTCTGTGTCAATGATGTTCCTATGCAGAAAATCTTATGGGATCGCAGGATCTGTTTACGAATTCTCGACAAAATAAATGTGCCCACGCCCAAGCGTATAGAAGTGAATCGTGATGGAGGTCCAGCTGTCTTCACACCGGAGATGGCAAAACATCTGAAGGACACCACTGGTCTTGTCCTAGAAGGGCCCGAAGATGGAACTGGTGGCCAGATGGTGGCTCCCAAGACGGTTGAACTTATCGACAACGGAGACACTTTAAGTGTTGATGGTGTACTATTGTCCAAGCCATTTGTGGAAAAACCAGTCAGTGGTGAAGATCACAATGTCTGCATATACTATCCCCAAAGTCAAGGCGGAGGAGGTCGAAAGCTCTTCCGGAAGATTGGCAACAAGAGTTCTGAACATGTAGAAGATCTTACAATCCCTCGAGCCATATCCGAACCAGGAAGCAGTTATCTATATGAAAAGTTTATGCGTGTCGATAACGCTGAAGATGTGAAAGCATACACTGTTGGACCAACCTTTTGCCACGCCGAAACTCGCAAATCCCCTGTTGTTGATGGCTTGGTCAGACGTAATACTCATGGCAAGGAAATTCGCTACATCACAGCTCTGACAAAAGAAGAATCTGCTATGGCCACTCGAATTGCTAACAGTTTCGGCCAGAGAGTATGCGGTTTCGACCTTTTGCGTGCGCAAGGGAAAAGCTATGTCATTGATGTCAATGGATGGAGTTTTGTAAAAGACAATGAGGAGTATTATGAGCAATGTGCACGTATACTTAAAGATATGTTCGTTCGCGAAAAGCAAAAGTATACTGGACAATCACAACCCGTTAGTGGTGTAACATCCCCTACCGACGGAACAATGAGCCCTACTACTATAAGAAAAGAGCCAGTACTCAAAGACAATCATCGGTCAGCCTTACAAAACATTCTTTCCAAATCTCCTAGCATGTCAAACATGCTTCACGGACATCTGCCTAATCATGGATCACATAGACTTTCCACTTCAGGTTCTCCTCAGCCTGGTAGCTCAGCTGCCCCAACTCCGAAGACCTCACCTCCACTAGTTGCGGAACAGGACACCTCCGCCATACCTTCTGCAGAATTGTTGCCACCACCTGCAGTGTCCGGTCCCAGCGAAGTCCCATCTGTTACGTCTGCAGTCCCACCTACACCCATGCCTACTCCTGGACAAGATCAACAGACACTACCACCGCCGGCACCCAAACATACGTGGAAGCTGAAAGGTATGGTATCTGTAATTCGACATGCTGATCGCACACCCAAGCAGAAATACAAATATACGTTTCACACCAAACCTTTTATCGATCTTCTTAAAGGTCACCAAGAAGAAGTCCTCTTAATAGGCGAAGCTGCGTTGGATAGCGTTATGCTTGCTGTTGATGCTGCAGCGTATGAGGGCATCGAGGATAAAGAAAAGCTGAAATCACTAAGGAATGTTCTAGCAAAGAAAGGTGGATGGACAGGTACAAAAGTACAAATCAAGCCCATGTTTCGAAAAAGAAAGCCGGAAGAATCCCCAAATTCTGAGATACCACCTCCTGCACCAGAAGACCTTGCTGCAATTGATCCTAGTCTTGAACACTCTGACAAAGCAAAGACTGCTGCGAAACTTGAGAGAAGATCGCCCAGTCGAAATGACTCGTTATCTGGCGTTACTTTATCTCGCATAACCGCAGCGGAGGAGAGCCTTGTATTGGACAAGCTCCAACTCATTGTCAAATGGGGTGGTGAGCCAACTCACTCTGCTAGATATCAAGCACAAGAGCTTGGCGAAACAATGCGAAACGACCTTCAATTGATGAACAAGGACATTCTTGATGAAGTTCATGTATTCAGCAGCTCCGAGAGACGTGTAACGGCCAGTGCTCAAATATGGGCATCTGCTTTCACAAACCAAAAGGATTTGGCATCTGATTTCATTACTGTTCGCAAAGATTTACTTGATGACTCCAACGCAGCTAAAGACGAGATGGATAAAGTCAAGAAGAAGCTCAAGACTCTGTTGAGACAAGGAATGGAAGCACCTCCCGAGTTTGCCTGGCCAGCGGATATGCCAGAACCATCGATCGTGCAGAAATACGTTGTTCACTTGATGAAATTTCATAGGAGAGTTATGCGTAACAATTTCAGCAAACTTTATGGAGGCGCCACTACATCACTCAATGCAATTGTAAATCCTGGAGATAAGGAGAGCAAAGGAGCAGGTTCGGCTTTGTCACAAGCAAACGCTACGAGCAGTATTCAAGCTCGTTGGTGCTGTGGTGAGGATGCCGAGCTATTCAAGGAACGATGGGAGAAGCTTTTCAATGAATTTTCCGACCCCGAGAAAGTAGATCCAAGCAAAATCTCTGAGCTATACGATACCATGAAGTTTGATGCCCTTCACAATCGTCAATTCCTTGAATGGGTCTTCACTCCGAGCAAGAGCATTCTCGAGGAAGAAGAAATAGAGCTTGCTTGGGAAAAGGACCGATCCAAAAACTCGGAAAATGCTAAGGATGAGACTGTACCAGCGGAGAAGGCTGAAAGCAGTAGAACACTTCACCGACGCATGTTCAGAAGAAAGTCGGTATTGAATGGAAAAAATAGTGAAGAAGAATCGGTAAGTGTTTAGTGTGAAGAGGAAGTTAACTTGGCTAACATTCCCAGTATTTCCGACTTTTCACTGGCAGTAGCCAAACGAAAGCTAAGACCGATGTTCGCCTGGAGAAACTGCGAGAATTGTATAAACTATCTAAAATCTTGTTCGATTTCATCTGTCCGCAAGAATATGGTATCGCGGATAGCGAGAAACTTGAGATTGGTCTTTTGACATCGCTTCCCTTGCTGAAGGTAAGAGTACATATAATCTTCAAAGATTATTGGTCTAACCAGAATATAGGAAATCGTCCAGGATCTCGAAGAAATGCAAGCCTCGGATGACGCCAAAGCATTCGTATATTTCACCAAAGAGTCTCACATTTATACACTTCTTAACTGTATTCTTGAAGGAGGTATTGAAACAAAGATCAAACGAAGTGCCATCCCCGAGCTCGACTACCTCTCACAGATATGCTTTGAGCTTTACGAATCTGAGAACAAGACTCCTGTCGATGCACAAGATGTAGCCAAATATGCGTATAGCATACGTATCACAATCAGTCCAGGTGCTCACACGTTTGATCCGTTGGATGTACAGCTTGACAGCAAACATAGTATTAGTTGTGCTCCGAGAAGAAGTTTAACAGCTCACGCCGATTGGAAATATGTCATTGATACATTGAGGGCAAAGTTTCATCAGTACGTTCATTTCAATCCATCTTATCTGCCGTGGGATTTTTTAAAAGAACAAAATACTAATCAGAACAATTAGAGTCAAACTTCCCAAGAGTTTTCTCGCGGTCAATCTTGCGGAATCACATACTTTCCACAAGAAAGAACTAGAAAATGCGGAGGGCGATTCTACTATTGCAGAAGCATTAAGTAGTGAAACTCAAGCCGGTGATGGGAATGGAGAAAAAAACGATTTGAAAGAACAAGTCGCAGAATCAACCAATGAAGCAACTGCCGGTTCGGCTTTAGTTGCAGCGCCATCTGGAGATAATTCAGATGTGAAAAGCCACAGCGAACCCGTCTGATAGGTTGGTGGAAGATGGTAACGAATAGAATAGGATGTGGAAAGACATGGCGTGTGTTAGTGTAATATTGTGAGTATGATACACTTGTGTATAATATGACAGCGTAGAACAGCGAGTAGAAATTAAATACTATAATTGTATCTGTTCGTGACATTACTTGACATAACTTCGCAACTTGACTGCTGAACATCTGACTGGATGATCATGGCATCGCGGGGTCGGTATCACCTCCGGTTGTGTGATGAGTGAAAGATGTGATGGGTCGTTTTTATTGGTCATTTTTGGCATGGCATTATGGCGTAGTAGTCAATAGATGAAAAGGAAAGAGTTTCGTGGGGTGGCATTGCAATTTGATGTTGTCTAGATGATTAGGTAGAGACAAGGCTAGGTAGGTACAAGTTCGAGCAGTGGTACAGAGCACTTATTCTCTTGTCTACGGCAGTGTAGGATTCCCTGTTTGGGTATCTCTTCAGTTGTGCAGTGCTCTTGGTTGTATTGTATGAGTTATTGAAACCTGATTGTTTTCAAATCTTGGATTGTGAAATGCGGAATGCGAAATGTGAGGCATGAGCTTGAGATTGGATATAGAGAATGAATTTAGACGGCGACTACCAACACGAGAGGAGAGGTTGGTTGGATGAGGTAGGTTGGCATTTCCGGGTTGGGAGTGATACATACGATATCAAGAATCATTAACTATTAGGGATTCATCGTCATACTATTCAATTTGTTCTAGACCTTCCATTGCCAGTTGTGTTATTCATTTCAGCTACAAAGTTACTGCCCAGTGTCCAGCCTATGCACAAGGAACCAAGATACAACCATTCCAGCATTAAACGCTTACCTAAGGATACCACCCTCGTTCAGCATCTGGAACACACACGGCCGTCAATGCCTCCGGCGCATAAATAGTGGCGTGATAAGTCATCGTGCATCGATTCATCCAGGGAGCGAGTGGCACTCCATCTGCCATTCGAACGGGAGGGGGGGAATGATAGAGGTTACAAGCCGGACGTTGGAATGGCACGATGATTTACAGATAAGCTTTGCATGATTACATGAGGACATGATGACATCCATCCGTGTTTGGCGACGGATCGGGATCGCTCGCTCGGGGAAGAGGATGTGATGTGATGGGAGAGAGATGGGTTGGGTGATGATTGCTTGGCGGGATGGGGGAAGGGGTGTGTTTAGTATGTTTGTGTTGAGTGCATACCTATGTACCGTATGATATTATGGGATACGATATTAATGAGATGGCGCATACGAGCCGTTGGAATAAAATGTGTTCGGCCGCGCTGATGGAGATGGCAAGGAGAGGGACGATGAAGTGCGGGCCGGATGTCAAAGAGCGGGTCGGCTGTGAGACGGATGAAGGGGAATAATTAAGATGTTGCGAATTTCACACACTACCGAGGTTGGGAGGTAGGTATGTATCCGTGAATAATAAAAAATTGAAATTTGTATACCGACGCCCTTCCATTCTCGTATTCTGTATCTATACATGGCATTTCACTTCTGATACTTTTGTTTTTCTTGCTTAGGCGCTATAGGCAAGGAGAATGATAAATGCCTATGGAAAATTCATGTGTTGGTGGCTAAATCCTCTTTGCAATACATGTTCTCCATGCCGTAAGATACGGTTTCGGAATATCCTCGTCGTCTTTTGGATCAAAGGGCATGTGAATCTAGTAAGGTAGGTAGGTAGATAGGTAGGTAGGTAAATAAGTAAATCTTGGTCTGGTCGACCTTCCACACGAAGCATATGCCGAAAACCAAGATCTCGGGACGGCACGTCTGGTTTTCTCGCGATTCTGGTGGTACATATGTATTTGCATGACATGCGTTGGTGGCGTTTTGGATGTGCTTTTGGATGGTTTCTGTTGCCCGCATTGGTTATGCGGTACATTTTATGCATTGATTATCAGATGAATCTGTCAGTCGTTGGCGCAGTCGGTGGATTGGATTAGAAGTCAGCTGGATAGGTAGGTGATGATGGTTCCAGTGTGAGGATAAAAGTGTTATGATTTTCGTGACTGTGGTTCAAAGTAGAGGTTCCGACTTTCCATTCTGATTTCACACGAACCCCACGTTTTTGTTACCGGATTAGAAGGATTCTCTAGCTTTCTAGGTCTAGAAGCCGGATGTCAAATTTTTGAGATCATGCATGCTAGTGAGACGAAATGCTGGAGACCGTCTCGTACAACATGTTGTTTTCTAGAACATTTTCCAACGTGGTTTCGTGTGTAATCGAAGGTTCCGACAGCGGATCGGTCGACGGCTGTTAGATTGATTGAGAGATTGATAGATATTAGAGAGGGTGGTACAACTAACGCTCAAAGGGCTGGTGAAACAAGAAGTCGCGGGGAATTCGATGAGTTGGATACGGATGGATCTGAGTGCGAGATGAAGGGTGGATGGAGTGGGGAAATCACAATGACGGGATAGCAACAGCAACGGCAAGCCAATGAAAAGATTTGATGGGACGGGAATGTGCCGACACCGATGATGAAAATGGAAAGGTTCAGGAATCAAGAAATAAATGACATCTCGGTATCTACTTCGTTTTTTCCTTTGTGACTGGCTGCTAACTCGTAAAATACCCATACAGCATCTTCGTACAACTTGATACAAGGGAGGGGTTGAGTGGCATGGCCACAGGAAAACGACCTATCTGGAAATTAAAGTGGTGAAGTCTGAATCGCTAGCAGCTTGCTTCATTACTCAGTAACCCGAAAGTAGCAAATAAAGTATACCCAACGGAAGTAAAGTAGATCCTCCAAAAAGTGGATGATGTTGAAGCTATGTATGTGGTCATAATAGTGAACCGATTCCTTTCGGGAATTTAAAATTGTGAGACAATGGCCCTGAATCTTATGATGTGAAGTGCCGCGAAGCTTGACATGTAGAGAGCGGTGAAGATGGTGAAGCAGTGACACTCTACTTACAGGAAGGTATCAGAATGATTTGTTTACTTGAGTGAACAATCGTTGAATCATAGACTAGATGGACAGAGAGAAGAGTGCTTTATCATTGAGATTTCGGAAGAGGAAGATGTATGTATGTACCTACCTATGCATGTGTGTATGCACGTATGTATGTATATATGTATGTATGTATGTATATATGTATGTATGTATGTGTGTATGTACATGTACATGTATATGTATGTATGAGTTGTAATCATTAGTCATAGAGGGAGGAGGATGGATGAATGTATACCCAACGCACCAATCTGGCGACTAATTGATCTATTCATCACATTAGATGAGACATGGTGCAAATGTAAGTGTGAATTTGAATAGTAATCTTTCTCATCATCTCTCTGGCAGTCAATCTCAGACTATTACCCTAGTTTTACCTAAAATCTATCCGACTTGGCGATTGATATCTAGGGAGGATGAGGGTTTTGGTGATAAATGGCGGATTTTGAATCTTGGATTTTGATATACATCGTATGTAGGCGCACGAATTGAATTGTGGGTGTGCATGATAGCTTGGCTTGGTACAAGACATGGGATCTTTGATACAAGCACCGCCAAATCAACGGTTTCCCAAAGAAGTGATGTGCATCGGGCATTTATTTATTTCTGTGCTCGGTAAGAAAATAGTTGCTTCTTTGAGAATTGGTATGCATTAGCGGAATATGCTGGGGGTTCAGCGATTGTGGTATATGATAGATATATTATGGTGGCGTGGTTGATACCCAATCAAATTTAGAAGAATGTGATGAAAATGATCCTTTTGGGGAAACTGCTGCATAGGAATAGAGGGCGTAAGGAGTGGAATACAATGTAAAAAGGCAAGAAGAAAGTTGATTTGACAATTTTGCGAGTTTCGACTAAGTTAGACTTAATCTATCTCATGTACTTCTTCATTAGAAATGGTTTAGATGATAAGATGGAATAAGCTCAGAGGAATAACTTCCTACTCGAATGAATGACTAGGTAGGGGAAGAGAACATCATCACATCACATCACCTATTCAATACGGGTGCTCATACTCAGGTCTCACTACGAGAGCGAGTCGTGCGAGTACGTGTATACATCATCAAGCTTCTAGGTGGCAGTCGTAATAAGCTTCAAAGTAACCCTCCATCGCCCCTTTCATATCCTCGTTTCTAAAATCTCACACTGAGTCTCCGCATTCACTGTCTCGAAGTATGACAGCATGAAGCAGCATAATCCTCGAGACGCTTTCGTTGCTTAGGATTTTGCTACAGCGATCGGCGTAATGTAGCCAGTCAGTTTTTATTGAATAACGTACTTGAACCCAGCACATGAATAACATAACATGAGTTGTGTGTGATATGGTTAGTTAGAATATAATGTTCACTAATGGGAATCGATGTCGTGTAATTGCAAGTGTCATTATCCAAACCTAGTCGCCAGTCTAACTCGTCTATCTAATCGTACCTACCAAGATAAATATATGCTTGTTAGATGCGAATGACCTTTGCTCTCTTCATGACCTCAATGCATCTCTCTGATTTCTATGTCTGTATGTATGCATTTCCAATCACTTCAAACACTGCAACACCACTCTTTGACCGAAACATTTTTCAGTCTGCTGCAGATGCAATGATCGTCAAAGCAAGCTGCACCTGTCTTATGTGGGTGACAATTTTTCTTTACCGACTCCTCAGTGCTGGGACCTCTCTACTGCACCTACTGGGTACTCCCCATGCATCACTTTTTTAATTGTGAAAATAATGGGGACACATTTGTTCCCGTGATTTCCTGGAGATGGAGTTTATCAAAACCTCCGAATGATTGGAGATCGTACGCTTGACTATCTGCAAAGTCCGCTAATGACACCTTCGTTAAATATACTTTCACCAAATGAATACTTCTTAAATGATTGCGGCTTTTTGCCCTGCCAATCTTGGTATGTGTCGATAGAAGATGATGGCTGAGAGACCAAAAAAGACCGTTACAGCCCTGCCGTTCCGCTCTGAAGCCGTTCACAAGTACATGCGATCAATGATCCGTGATGACTACACAACGGGTCGGTCCATCATGGCAACTAGCATGGTCACATTCCTGGAAAATATCCCTACCGATCTTCTCCTGCCCCTTCTTCCTAATGAAATTAGCCAGGACAAGATGCTCGATGGCTTAGACATGTCATTGTTAATCAATGTCAACCTGATCTCACTTCTTACCACCTAATCTACCTAGCCCACCTACCTGAATAGCAAGGAATCTCATCTGCCGTGTTACAATTTGTATCACACACACTATCTTCGAGGATTATTCGTTTCTCACTTCCCCATTCGCCTTCAAGCTTTCCCAGGTATTGAATGGAATCGCTTTGGAGACGACTCCATTCCAAGGAAGTCGAACTAGATCTTGTTCCTTTTGGCACTTTGTTGCCTTCCTTCGCTGTTACACTAGCGTACCACTTCATTGATAATTGCTTATATAGTGTCTGCAAATGATAAAACTGATATCCTCAACGGGCCTCGGTTACCAATTATCTACTCCTTCACCATGCAGATTCTGATAATCCTTACCTCCACCACCCAAAAATCCTTGTTATTTTAATCGACATCCCTAACAAATGCCACGAGGAAAGTCTCTCCGGGATATTTTTTTTATCCATTCCCATCCCTGATCGAATCATGGCCCTTCCATAGCGATTATCCGGCCTAGCTTGTGCAACATATAGCTTGTTGTGACCTTGAGTTTTCTTTTGTCAAAAACTTCAAATTGATCATCATGGTTGGCGTAATGTAATATTCAGGTAAGCAGCAAGGTAAGCTAAGCGTTATCATAACCGCTTTCAACGGCCTACATGTTTACCAGACTTGATGATATTTGGTTCCAGTATGCCCTACTATTTAGACCCCAGTTCTCATGGACTTGTGTGGTCATGATGACGGATTATCTCACAAAACCAACAAATGATCATGTCTGCATGGCAGTCAGATCGGATATCGTGACAGCAGTCCTTTACTCTCCGACAAACCGCGTACTCAAACCTCTGATCCCTCCTTCCCCTCCGCGGTCACTCGAAATCGACCTCAAAAAAGACGCATAATCAAATTGATGGTCGATAAGACGGCGGCAAGCTTCCGTAACTCAAGTCAGGGACGATCCGGACCCCACTTTACAAGAACTTACACCATACCGAGACTCGTATACTTCTAGTCAGAATACGACGATATACCCTGATATTAGCACAATCAAGAATTTGAGGATACTCTTGGAATAAAGGAAGGAGGATAGGAGGCAGTCGATGGTAATTAATGGCTCTTTGGCCGTTTTCTACTTTCATCTAAATCCCATCCTTCAGCTCCACGAACCATTGGTAGGTTGGCTATGTCCCCGTCGTTTGCCATTGTACCTCGCTCGCTTTTTTTTATTCTAAGGCAACCGACCACACAGCCATTCAATCTTATGTGCCCAGGTACCTCAACTCTCTCCATGTCCACCTCTCCATGTCTAAGCATAATAAAACAAACATTGGCATTCTTCTACACTGCTTGATAGAGACGAATCAAACACGTTCCGTCTTCCGCGAAAGCCAAATATCTTGAATTCGTACCTCGGGCCTCCCAAAAGAATTTCACCGGTTAGATGTCAAACCTCTTCCGAACGTTTATTTTCAGCGAGGCGTCAGATGAAATATATAAAGTTGACTATAGTATACCATTCCCGATTCATCATTGTATCACTGTATCGTAATGCATCTGTCTGATTACGCTTTTTCGTGTTAAAAATATCCCATTAACACCGTGTATTATAGACAGGTACTACCTATTTGAGAATTTCGATGTGATCCCTCGTAGTAAACCTAATAGGAAGGAAAGTGCATTTGGGTCAGCTGTAGATATACCACCATATTATACGGAATCAACCCACAATTACCATAAATTCGACATCCCCCCAGCATTCTTCATCATGAACTCTTCCCCTGGTTCAAGATAGTCCCTCTCACATACCTTTCAGCCCAACGGTAGATTCTCCTGAAACCCCCACTAAGCACATGTTCTCGAACCTATGGACCCATATACTATAACCCTTCAGGTAATCCATCGTGTATTTAAGGTTTAAACCCACACTTGTATCTTTGCAATTTGCGATTTGCACGTTACTTTGTACACCCTGCTCTTCTTCAAGGATCCCTTAACCTTTTCTTTCCAGTCTACGGTACAGATCATATACAACAGACAGATGCAGATGGGCCGGGACCGAAAAACTTCAATGCTGATGGCTTGCTAGCTAGCTAAGTGGGCATCATCTACCAGTAACTCATATACGGAGCATTGCTTCTTCAGACAGACAGACAGGCGGATATGATTTCTTGGCCGATAACTACCTAGTAAACTTCGACTTCCTTCTTTTGACGTTTTACTACCTCAAGACTTACCCCCCCCTTGTCTGCTTTGGTTACAGCTCTTTGCTGGTCCCTTATTCTGTTGACGGCCACAAAACTAGGAGACTAGCAGATTGGCAAGCTAGCTAAAACTCTTCTCCGTCAATAGCGATATACCGAGCCGTTACCAACCCATGCAATCATCCTTTCGCCCTGCTACATTTGAAGTGTACTTCCGACTTGCTTGTTGCAATTTCTATGGTTGCAATACTTACCGGTACATCTTTTTTCGGGACATCATTTCCAAAAAACTAAAAAAGGACAGCAATCAAACCATCAAAGCAAGCAAACTCAGCAAACTCTATCGAACCCATACAACTATCTGAAATAGAAACCGCCTTAAAAGTACTCATCACCAATACCATAGGTTCCTATCAAATATCATCAAACATACTCTCAGCTTTCTCGCTTGGGAGCCCACTTCATACCCACAGCAGCCTCATTATACGTTCAACATCATTCATCCAAATCAACTTGTACTTTTCCTTTCACAGACCTATATCATATATACTTCTCGAACAAACCATCTACTTCGCTGGCTATAATCTCATCCATTCGATTCATCTTTTGAACGCTACACTCAGAGAAAAACGCCAATCCGAGAACACAAGAGAAAACTCGATCGATTTCATCTTGCATCCATCTGAATACCCTTGATTATTTTCTCTCATACTATTCACTATATAAAAGGGCCCACCGTGACCGCTAGTTTGGAGAGGACTTCTGTTTTTTTTGGGATTTTCCTTCATATTCAATACTGCGATAACAATCTTTGCACACTATTCACTATCACTCATCTTCGCTTGGGAAATTAAACACAAAAGAAGTCCGGATTTTCGTCAAATACGTTAACTTTGAAGTTTGGAGTTCACTTTCACAATTCTTTGCTCCGATTAGAATTTGATCTGGTGAATATTTTCCATCTTTGAGAGTTCAACCGAAGTCCTTGTCTGGTTTCTCAACTTTCCTTCACAACTTCTATTTGCTCTCCCCCTACTCCTTGAACAGCAACTTCAACAACAAACCTCAGTTCTCCAATTTGGAAAACTTCTTCCAATCTTCTTTACTTCTCGTCATTGCTACCTCAGCAGATTCTCCGCGCCCAATCAGTATGTATGGCTTCCGTTATCACAGCTTTATTCTTCGAACTGTCGTTGCAAATGGACTCTAATATCTTTTTCAGTCATAGAATTTCTTCAAATCCATCACCAAAGCTCAATACACACTTAACACAATGGCTGTTCCTACATATTGCAGTCACTCTTTCAATGTTCTCAAGTCAGAATCTACACTCATCCAGTGGATTTGCTCGATGTGTCATTCTGGGCCTCATTGGTTCATCTACGAGTGTAAATATTGCAAACTCAAGACCTGTCGTAATTGCTCAATGAAGGCATAACCATGTCTCATATACTGTTACCGCATTGAGCATCTCGTCGCTGTCTGGAACTTTCTCATGGAATCTTACTATGGTTTTTGGTGGGGTGTGGGGGAAGCAGTTGGAAATGATCCTTTGGTAAGTTTTCCTGGTTTGCCTCGTTTTCCCCATTTTCCTCTCGTTTTTGCCATGTGGCGGGATAATATTGTGTCATCTCTATCACATCACAAAACAAACTGTTGCCAAACATCAATTGGATTTGTGGAAGATGTTGAGTGCGGTGAAGGAAATTTTCTATGCCTAGTCGTTTGATATCAAACAAAAAGTTATTAATGACAGCCACTGACAACCTGGGTGGTAGGATCCGAAAATGTCTCAAATCTATTCTGTTCTCGTGTTGCGATTTGCCCCCCAGAAATCAGATATGACGAGAATGTGGCCACCTGCATGAAATCCATGCAGGGACATCATAAGCTTGCCGATTTGTTACTATTGGCCAACCACAGACATGCATTTCTTTACATTGTTCCCCTTTCTCAAACACCACGGAAATTCATAACCGAATCCCCTTATTGTCAACAACGTTTATTGTCGATGAGTCTACGATGGCGACTACTTGATACATATAACTGCACTGATACGACTACGACTTCTCCGACTTTTCAAAATCATCTTTTTTTGCACGTTCACGAATTTCATTGCTCACATCGCATTGCTTTACCAATACCGGTAGCTACGACTAGGTATTCTGTACCACTTCTTTTTGCACCATCAAACTTCACGAAATCAGAATAGATTGGTTACCGCTCTCCAAACCGCAAATAGGCGAGAAGTTTAATGCAAACTGCCGGTATCTAGGCTGACAGCGACATTCTACCTTCAAGAGCTTTACCGACATCGGTACGCACACGACATTCTAACAAACAACACCAAAAAAATCTGTCCTGTACCACAACCTTGTTTCAAAACGATTTTTGCTCTTCGTATCCATTTTGTTCTAGACCGGTCTATCTTCTCTTACAAGTTTCATTTGGCTCGCTTCTTTTCTTCTTCGGCTTCAGTTTTTGTCTACCTTATACTCTGGTTTGCAATCTGTTCGCTCTACTTTTCATGTATTTCTGTCTCTACTCTATTTGACGTGGTGGTGTAAGGGTATGGATGGATGGGGATAGGGTTGGTTGGTTGGCTGGTTTGTTCCGGAGGTGTTCGTGGTGTCTACGTCTATGTGTGTTTCCGGCGAGACAGGCGGCTTTTGTGAGAATTGCGGTCGCAAGAAATCTGGGATGGGTGGTTGCCTGTTTGCTCGTCTTCACTTTTTTCATTCTTTCTTTCCCCTTGCTCATTACTCAATCATCCCTTCGCGGTATTGCAATGAACAAGCGGGTTGATTGTTTTACTATGCGGTAGCCTGGTGTTTGCTACTCGGTGTGCGCAAAATGGTTAGATGAATTGATTTCCAGTCTTTATGTTTTCATTGTAGTTAACACTGATAGTATTAATGACACCAATTGACATTTATGTGATTGCTTATCTTGGCTGTAGTCTTGGCTATGTATATGTCTAATCGGTGAAGCGTTCACTCTTTGCATCTCGTTCAACTTGGCATCCGCATTCGCATTCGCGAGGATACTACGCTGTGCTACAACAGTGTTACAAGAAGGCTCTGGGGTGCCTCAAAATACTTTGTGCATGCGGCTGGAAGTTTAATTCTGCCTTCTTTCAGTGGAGATCGATGATGAGATGGAAGTAGCGGCGCGAAGTGACACCCGGTACCGGCTCGCTGAAATTTTTCAGATCATGCAATGGGGGGAGGGGAATGATCACTCTATCATTGATTTCTTGAGTACTTGTTCTGGCGAAGCGTTTCTCAATTATCGTAGACTTGATATTCATATATCCCACAGATTATCCCCAATGAACATATATTACGCTAGACTAATCACTACCTTCGTCCAGCCTCAACAAGGCAGCGCGCTAGAACCTGTTCTCTCCATTCACCTTCACTCAATCATACGCTTACGCTTCCATCACACCAACCCTCTCACCAACCAACCACCCACCCATGCACATACCCGAGCACACACTTGTCTTCTCTCCTTGCCTCCATCTTCCTCCTCCACAAACCCCACGTCGCACCACATCATAACACCACATATCTCCACCACTAGCCCTACCCAAATTAACCCTCCCAAAATATCATCGCCAATGCCTGTATCCCCTATGCATTCTCGCACTCGCCTATTGGCAGTATCGTATCCATATTACGGAGTTCATTCATTCATGT